AGCATCACGATCAACCGATCGCGCTCAACATTAATACTAGTACTAGGGGCCTTTTCCGTTTGTAAAAATTGTAGCATAAAAATACTAAAATAGTTCAACTCGAACTGAAAAATAATGGGAAAAAGTCTCTTTTATTAGAATTATGAGATTTTTTTTTTTTTTTGAGTTGTGGAAGTTGTTTGATCTTTAAAGCGGCAAAATGCTCAAAAAAATAAACAAGACATATGGACCATGCCCTTCCGGAAATAGTTTAACATCTGGACATCACCATGACAGTGACCCTGTGCACAAACCCTATGAAAATGGTCTGAAAAAAAGCAAAGATTTCCATAGATGGACTTCGCTTGACACCCTGTGTACAAACCCTTTGAGACTGGTCTGAAAAATTATGTGTTTCTCACTCAATACTTCAATATTTTCCCTGCTAAATTTCACTTTTAGGACATGTTACCGCTTTCTGATGGCTGAAAAGACATTGCAGGGAAAAACTAGTGGTGTAAGTACATGTATATGAAATTCTTTCCAGTCTGACCACTGTGGTCATGGCACAGTGCCATGCAGCGTGCCATCCCAGCCCAGTAGAGTGACCAAACCCGGCCAGCATTGGCGCTGTTATACCGTTCGTGCACGTGACGTACAGATAGACATGACGGAATGCAATGGTAAACGTTTACAAAGTCAACGTTTTTCATCATAAAAAATAAAATGCAACCCAGGTTTACCTTTCTCATAGACTTCTTTCTGGCTTTGGAGGTCGTCAACGAAAAATCACTTCATTTGTATTTTGTACCCTCCGTTTTTTTCCACGTTTTCATCGCATGAAGCGATGCAAGGTGTCCGCCATCTTGGATGCCGCAGTAAACATTATGTCGTCTGCACTACTGTACTGCATGGTACATGGTTGGCGAGTACTGCTGCTCGACACCCTGGGGATGTTGTTCATTTATTTCTGAGTTGTTCGTTTATTTCTGAGTTGGTATATATTTCTGAGTTGATCGTTTATATCTGAGTTGTTCGTTTATTTCTGAGTTATATTTCCGTTAATAATAATGAACACAGTACAGGTACTGGGATGGGATGGGTTTGCGGTGGCGCCGTGTGGATGGGTCTCTTTAGTGAGTGTGTGTGGTTCTGGGGGGCTGGGGGCTCAGCGTTTCGAGCGGTGTGCTCTGCCTGTCGTCGGGAGAATAAACATTTTCCTGACGACGGGCGGAGCATGCTGTTCGGGGCGTTGGGTCCCTCCGGTTCTTTTTCGGAGCCACACGTGCTCGCGGGGGAGATTTGTTCACGTGGTGCTACCGCGGACTTAACTTGTCTTAGTATCTTTCCACCATGCAAACCTTCTAATCTCACAGTACAGGTACACAGTATCTTACTTGCCTACGGACAGATGTTATAAGTTAATATAAGTTATAAGTTTTAATGTTTGTATTTTTGTAGTTTGTGTAGTTTTTACATTCGTGCTTTTTATGTGTTTTAAACCAAATAACGTGTAAAAAGGCCATGGAATTTCCCGCACTGGGATAATAAAGTTTTATTGTATTGTATTGTATTGGTCTGGAAAAATGATGTTTATTTGACATTCTCCGAAATGAGGATTTATGCTTTGTGGGGCGCTAGCACGACAGACCACATCCCAAATGTCAAAAAAGGAGTTCTAGTGCCCCAGTTAGTGGGTCTAGCATCATGGTATTGGTAGCTCTACTGAGTGAACATGGTGAAGCGCTGGAACTTCGGTACCCTCCGTACAATCGCTCCACCGAATACCGAATAGGCTAGCCCAGGTTGGACGACGTCTTCATTGCATTACGACTGACGTCCAGGGTATAAATTCTACCACCATAGTGGGTAACCCCTAATATGGCCCCAGCCAGAAATCCGCCTTAAAATCGGCCCAAAACAAGGGGGAAAATCCCCATGTGGCTCAGGTGTTATAATTTTCTAGGGTTTTTTTTAGGGAAGAGTGCATCTTCAAGATTTATATTATCGAAAAAAATTCATTGGGTTGACCAAATTGCACCATGTTCCAACTTAAAATGCTCTCGTGCAATATACAGGGATCGTTCACCTGTCAGTCACGCGGCGCGCCGCATGTTCCCTAGTCTTGGCCCAAGACCGACTTTGTTTTATTTTCGTCCACGTGCAGTTGGTGCCAACGTGCGTGCGTGCTGGTAAGCGCAGCCAAACGACATCAACGGTAGAGGGCACCATCGACGAGACAAAGCCGGTCTTGGGCCAAGACTATGGGCATGATGGGTCATGCGGTGCGCCGCGTGACTGACAGGTGAACGATCCCTGTATATTACGCGAGAGCATATGAGTTACACACAAACGGATGCCAAAAAGGACCGGGAAATGCCACAAAAACTGGAGAGTTGTATACTTGTGTATTATTTTTTCTTTGTTATTAACAAGGTGAGTGTTTTTTTAAAGCATAAATTAACTGCATACGCAGTCTTAATGCGAGAATAAATTTGGTACCAAGTGCTAACGTGTTGAATAAACTGATAGTGTGGTCTTTATTTACGGAGGTAGTCCAGTAAATAGGCCACATTTGTTAGGCTAATATGTGCCCTGCGCCAAAAGCCCATACTGTCATATGGTGCGGGGCACATATCGGACACGAAACAGTCGTTGATTCAGCACAACTTGCTTTTTCTTTTTTGTTTATCAAAGTATGCCTATTCGGTGGTGCTTGTACGGAGGGTACCGAAGTTCCAGCGCTCCAACTCAGTAGAGCTAGTATCATGGTAATAATAGGTAGACCCCAAACCTTTAGGACTCCTCGCTTTCTGGGGTTCACTTAAACCTTAGCCCCATGATAAATAAATGTGGCCAAACTAGACTAGTCCTACTCATAGACCCGTGAACATGGTGTTGTATACAACGCCCCGTTCCGTTGTCATTTTGAACCTGGCAAAATCATTCCGCGATACATCATTTCATATGCAGTTTGAGTGCTTACCTAGAAGTCTTTGTGTGCCTTTCCATGCGTTCAGGATGTGTCATTTCGAAGAAATTTACCAAAAATGATGACCCATACAAACTTGTAGAAATAGGATTCATTTTTTGAAAGATCCCTGAAACAAACCCTTACACAATGGAACAGCAATACTGGGTGATTTGGCAGATTTTTGAAGTTGATTTAGTAGAATTTTAACATGGTATTACGGTCATCCTGCCATGTAAGACGGGTAGTCGGGTACCCACTGGTGGGACTCCTATCGTTTTGCGCATGTGGAACAAGGGATACAGAGTATCATGCGTGTCTTTGATTTTCTGATCATTTTGAACACGTTTGTTGGCAATAAAATTTCTTGGCAATGACAGATCCAACACTCGCGTAAATTCACAGGAAGCATAACAAGTAAGCGATTAACCCATAGGGCAAAATTATACATGGTTATATGTCGCGGATCAAAAAATAAAATATTTTCGAGTGTATTTACGCGAGGACGGCCCGTGGCGTTGTTTACAATGCCACGTTCACTGGTCTAGGCTAAAATAAACCTGAGCTTTGAAATAAAAGTTTCATGCACGACCTACGTGTACCTGTGCCAAGCGAGGCTAGGCAGACTGAGTTACCCGTACCCGGGATGTATCCAGCTGGCAAACTAGTCTCACAGTCACTCGGTATGTACTGTACGTACTCTGGTCACTCAGCGGGAAAACTGCAACATAGTCGTCAATCGGCATTACCTTTGGAAACTGTTTCAGGCCTGACATTATCAAAATGTTGATATAAACTTGTACGTTTGGGGTTGCTTGAAATCCTTCAAATTTTTGTTTAAAAATATGGAATCCCTAAGAAATAATCTTAGCCTTTGTTCATTTAACACCGCAGTGGTGTTTTACATTATCGTATTACCCGAAAAAAAGATTTGACAATTCAATTTGTGAAATTCTTTCTTGTTAGTGTTTGTTTTTAATTGAATGGGAATTGCTTATTTAATTAAGAAAGAGATCGAGAATGTTGCCGCTGTCCGATATACGCAGTGCTCAGGATTGATCCTGTCGCAACCACAGGCCTGCGTCTGTAGCTAGCGGCGCTGTACCCCCAGCGCCAGCGCCGGCCAGGCCAAGCGTGGGCTAGCTAGCTTGCCGCGCGCCGAAAGCAATTTCCGATGTTCATTTCTCAACGTCATAATCTACAATTATTTGCGGTGTTTTGTCTATACAACAAAAATGAACTTCCCCTTTAACTTTTGTTGTAGCATGTGGAAATTGCGATGACTATTTCTTTCAGATACCTGTGCGGTATCCACGTACGTGTACAGTGATTATTTTACAAATGTTGTCTTTGCCTCTGTTCTGCTGCCTTGTAACTTACCTCTATGAACTTACGAACTTCTTACGGTAAAACATGTCTCAAAAATCACCCCAATTGAATCGTTTTAAGAATAAGCAGTGTTCTGTATGAAACATTTCCGTCAAACCAAAAACAGGCACCGTATTTTCTTTATGAAATGTCGGAGACTTTGTTTCCCTTCCGCTAGTAGGACCCCCCCCCCCCCCCAACAAATGGAAAATCTCAATTCTTTAGAAGTAGCCATAAAGCTTGCGCTTAGACACGTGATTATGTTTTCACTTGGTGTAATAGTCTACTACGTGGTTAAAAAGATTTGTATTGTGTTGTTTGTACTACGTGGAAGACACAAAATCCAATACACACGTACGTTAGTCAGTTGGTTCCGCCCCTTAATAGGTAAGAACATTGCGGTAAGAGTGAATTTGTGCTTTGCGGTTTTTCATGGGAGTGCTTTAGCGGCACTTTTTGTACTGAAGTAGTGACTTCAATGGTTACAAAAAGCGGTACTTCAAAAGGATATCACGATATTTTTGGCATATCGGATTCCACGATGTACCAATTTTTTAAAGAGATCAATACGATTTCCGATATGAAAATAAAATCAAAATATCGTGAAATATTGTCATATCAAACAGGCTTATTTGTGTACTATAGGCCTAATACTGTTTTGTTGGTGTTCATTATATTTCAGTTGGGAGGAAGCCAAAGAAGAACTGGATGAATTTCAGATCAGCAGTCAGGAATTAGAGGCAGAGTTAGAAACACAACTAGAAAGTGCTGAAGGCAAAGTCAAAGAATTGACAGTTGCAAAGGAAAGACTACAGAATGAGGCTGATATTCTAAAGGTTGGCAACAGATATGCATCATTAATTAACCCTAACCCTCCAGGGTGTTTTGGCTAGAAACCCTGCCAAACGCAGCAACATGCAACATTTGAGTGACAAGCCTACCCAAACTGAGGCCAAACTGCCTCAGAGTCTGTGCCCCCCCCCCCCCCACCCCCACCCAACGCAGCAGGACACAACTGTGGCATTGTTCTATGGGACTAGCTCTCATTGTCTCAGAACTATCTGTTTATGCACTGGTGTTGGTAGCTGAATGCATCAAAGTGTACCAGACTTTTCCAACTAATGCACTGTGTTGCCTCTGGCAGGGTTAGGGTTTTTCTGAAATCTGTAATTGCTTTGGTGTTGATGCTCCTTGACATGTACGATGCACACATGAGAACAAAATTGATTGTTCTAAAAACTAGACTGTTTTTGAATGTTTTAAAAAACTGGATTTTTTTTGTCTCTACTTATTTGTATTACACAGCTAGAATAGATCCTCAATCAAGAAAGACAGTGCACCCAGGTGCAATATTTGGTGGGCACATTGACTAGAGCCCAACAACTGAAAAGTCTCTTGTGACAGCTGTGTTGACCTCAAAAGTCGAAACAACAGCCAACAGCATACATCACAATACTTAAAAAAACAGAGTCACTGTGATTTTCAGGTTTGGGGGACTAGCATAATTGGGCTAATTAAAGGGAATGTACAACATTTGCTTTTGCTGCAATTTTCAGAAATAAATGGATTTGGAGGATTAGTATGTTATAGCAAATATTGTCGAAATGACTTGTTTCACGATTTGGGCTTGTAGATGCTGGAAAAACCATGAAAACCAATCATGTTCTTGTAGTCTGGTTCCCTGACCCCACTTTAGATGAAATTGAGTAATCATGACTTTGGGAAATTGTAAGGTCAGAGAATCAGTCTAGCAGGCTTGTACCCCTTCACAGGTGTGTAATCAATTGCAAAGAAAACGTGGAATAACTAATTATGAAAAATTAGGAGCAGTTTTTGAAAAAAAGCCAGTTTTCTCAACGCTGACCAGCGTTGGAAAAATACAATTTTTCTTGAAAATGACAGCACACCAGGAGCCACAATTTTTCAGGATGCTTTAGACTGTCATTCCCTAACAATCTAGTGAGGTATTTCGTGATTATTTGATGATTTCGTTTTGTGATGTTTGCAAATGTATCTTCCCTTTAAGGTACAATGTATGTTAATAAATACTGAATACCTCATTTTCGATCCAAAGTTGATCAAAATCAGTCAAGTAAATGATGATCTTTAGTTTTCCTAGCCAAATTAACAAAAGAGTATATGTGTAGGTTTACGGTTAGACCGTTTAACAAATATCTTTTGTATGCTTGAGAGGTTCTGGAAGCGGTGAAGTGTGGAGGTGTGAAGATTGCTTGGTCTCTAGAGCTGTTTCCTTCACATCTCCGTGGTTCTCCACATCCACTTCTCCTACACAACTGCCTTTCACCATTGGAATTCCTCAGTATTCTGACGATGGGGCAGAGCAAACATCCAAAATTTTTGAGTTTTCCCGGTTCTCTTCAGAACCTCACAAGCTCACAAAAGAGATTTGTTATATGGTGCAACAGCAAACTTCCTCGTTGCTCTCTTCACCATGCAAACCTTCAATTCTTATCCAAATTAGCATAATTGTGACTTGATCCAACAAAACAAGTTTTAAGGACAGCTTTTCAATTCTAAACTTGTCACATTCAGCAGAAAGCGCATAATGTGCTCTTCATCTTGATATATAAACAGGTTTGACAGATAAATATACTGTATGCATGTACGGTATGTACATGTACATGTATATTATTTGGGTGAAAATGGTATCATCATCATCATCATGATTCTCGTAATCCATCATTGGGGACGTTGAGCCGCCCAAACCAAGCAATTGAATGCAGACTGCCACAGATGTTGTGCTCGTGTCTTGTGGTCAACTTCCAGCTGGCGCACCCAGGTGTTGCGGAGGCAGCCCCTGGGTTTCCTCCAAGCAGTGTCAGGGTGGAGTCCCCCATGTATGTCGACGCTATTAAAGCTTAAGGGCGGTGTGGGCTGGTGTGTCATCTGGCATTTTCAGACGTGGCCGAAGAGGGAATGACGCCTCCATAAGATGGTTGCATGGATATCCTTGATACCGGTGGTCCCCATGATAGTGGTGTTCGTGACAAATCGGACCACCGGACACCAAGGATGCGCCGTTGGCAAATCTTATTGAAGGCTTGAAAGCCTTCGCCTGTCCTCAGTTAGGGACGTCCACACCTCCAACCCGTATGGTAGAACGGGGAGGACACAAGTCGTGTATATCTTCAGCTTGTTTGAGAGGTTAAGGCGTTTGTTCCGCCACACCCAGTCGAGTTGGCCAAAGGTTGATGAAGAGAGGCCTATTCGTCGGAGGATGTCGGGCGATGAGTAGCCTGAGGAGCTGATGTCGCCGCCAAGATACCTAAACTTCTCCGTGACCTCAACAGGCTGGCCCATGACAGTGGCTGAGGCGAGTGGTGCAATTCTGGATCTTGGTTTTGGCCCATGACACGTGCATCCCCATCGTCATGGCCTCTTCCTCAAACCTCTGGAGTGAGGTACCGGTAGGCCACTAGTCAGGTTTTCCTAAGAACAGGGCGTCATCATCGGCATAGTCCAGGTCTGTGAAGGACTTGTCTCTAACTGTTATTCCGAGATCTGACTGACAGCAGCTTAGGATCTAGTCGATGGCACAGAAGGATGCAGCCCTGACGGACACCTGAAGTGGTGGGAAGGGGGTTGAGATGTCGTCTCCGACACGCACGGTAGAGATGCTACCCTGGTGCAGGGAATGAATCAGGTGAAGCAGGAATGGCGGGACTCCAGTAGCTTTCAGGGCCTGCCATAGAGCTTCCTGTTCTACCGAGTCAAAGGCTGCCTTGGTGTCTACAAAGGCAACACGAAGAGGTCAGAAGTTAGACTGCTGGAGGCGAGGGTGACGGGTGAGTAGTGGTTCTAAGCGAGATAGCAGGACTTGGCTGAAAACCTTTCCAGGGAATGACAGCAGAGTGATGGGCCTGTAGCTGCTGCAGGGTGATGATGATGCCGTCCCTCTATTCGGCAGGGACCCTACCTGGGGACCATACTTTGAGGAAGAGATCATGGAGGGCCACGCTGATATGGGCCTCTGCGCACTTGAGCAGTTCAATGGGAATAGGCCTACCGTCCGGTCCTGCAGCACGTCCGTTCTTGAGTTTTCTGATAGCGGGGCATACCTCGGCCAGGGTGGGAGCGTCTGAATGCACATCCGTAGTGGGGTTGCGGCTGTTGAGGTTGGGCAGGACATGGCTAGAGGCAGGTTCAGCATGGTTTGTAGTGCTCTCGCCAGCGGGCCAAACGACTCCTCGACCGTCTTGCATGGGGTGCCGTCAGTCTTAGTTATTGGCAAGGTGCTACATCCCTGTTGTTGGGGGCCGTGCATACACTTGATGGCCTGAAAGGATGGACACATGTTGTTTCTGTGTAGCCCTTCTTCAGCGTCGTCAGCGAGTTTGCCTCCTCAAGGTTGCCCTTGGCTTGAGCTTTAAAGACGCCTTTTAGTCTGCATGCTTCGCATGTGTCGCCACGCAGACGTGCATAGCGCTTCTGGTCGAGGATGTCCATTGTTTCCGCGGTCAGCCAGGGGCGTTTCTGGTGCCTACAGGTGCCAATTGTTTCTGTAGCAGCAGATAGCAGAATATGGATCTTTCATGGGAGCGTCTAGGGCTTCAAATTTGTTGCTGACAGCGATGTTGTAATTGGTGGTCACGTGACGTCGTCACGTGAAATGTGATGTCATATTAAAAGTGCATATTTTGAAGGCCAATATCTACAAAACTACAGGTCTGATTGGGTTAAAACTCAAGTGGTATGTACCTACACCAAGATGTGTTATTGATGAAAAGTCAAGTGACGTCACAATGATGTCATCACGTGACATGTGACGTCACATTAAAAGTACATATTTTGAAGGCCTATCTACAGAACAACATGTCCGATTGGGTTGAAAGTTGGTATGTAGGCCTACCTAGATCGGGATGTGTTATAGATGAAATTGAAGTGAGGTCACGATGATGTCATCAAGTGACATGTGACGGCATATTAAAAGTGCATATTTTGAAGGGCAATATCTGTATTGGTCCTGATCACTCTACCGCACATGTCCTATCAGTCTTACATGACATAAAAATACAATAACAAAAAATTACCGAAACGGCCGTATGTTTATACACAAACATACGAAAGCCCATTAGCACCACTGCAAGTACATGTATATGTTGGTAATTAGTTATTACGGATTGTTTAATTCGTTATTACGGATTATTTGATTCATTATTACGGATTATTTAATACATTACAGGGGTTGCCCTTAACTTTTTTTTTGACTGGCCAGCCGGACCAGTTGGCTAGAATTTTGACTGGTCCGCCAGGTTTTTGACTGGTCCGTCTTATACAGCGTGTACCCACCAGTTAATCAGTTTCACATAAGTCATAACAAGACTATTGTCATCAACACCCATGTCATCATGTCACCTGAGCAATAGAGGTCTATTTTCTTCCTCCATGATCTGAGGCCGCAAAAAAATATATAGTTCTGCCTCAGATTACATGCCTTTTAAAAATAGGGTCGGTCGGTCGGATTTTGGGGTTTTTGGGGGGCCATTTTTTTTATGCCGCTTGAATGGGGTATTCAATTAGGCCTCAGTATGCGAAGTTTTAGCCTGATTTTATTTTTATTGCACTATGAAAGCTATACACAAAAAGATGGCCACAAAAAGTGAATAAAACCTACCTTAATTAGGCCAAAAAAATAGTTCTGCTTCCGATTACATGCCTTTCAAAAATAGGGTCGGTCGGTCGGAAATTCTTCTCTTTTTTGCCAATTTTTTTATGCAGATTGAATGGGGTATTCAATTATATGCGAAGTTTTAGCCTGAACTAGTTTCATTGCACTACGAAAGCTATACACGAAATGGCAACAAAAAGTGAATAAAACCAAAGGCTTTAATTTTTTTCAATATATTTACGTTCGATAATTTCAAAAAATAATGGAAAATTCAGGTCGTTCGCACCATATGCACAACGCTAGTCAAGACGCGGGGAGCTGGCCGAAACTCCGAGGTGTGTGATGCGTGCGTGTGTGGTGAGCGGCCCACCATGGGCCGACAGACCCGTTTTTACCGTCAAAAATTTCGGGAAACACGGGGCATGTATCACTCCAAATACGAGTAGTGCGATCTCAAAATGAACTCATGAACACAGAAAATACATACACAGATAAGCTTGATCAATTTTGTAAATTAACTTGCAAAAATGTTCTTTCTCCATCGGTGTTTTCTTGGCATTTTTACGATGTCGAATCCGACCAGTTGACAGAGCACGTGCCTGGCGTCTGCACAATGCATAGCCATGCTAGCGCTGTCAATCGCTACTCCTAGAACTAAAGTATGAGGCTCCACGTAGTGGAGCCTCATAGATTAAGAACCCCGCAAAATTGTTTTCAGCACAAAACACTAATCAAGTACAAAAACGTCCATCAAAATGCAGAAATTTCCAACAGAACCGCTGCACAGTTTGCCCCCAAACTCCGTACTACACCTCATGACATACTCACAAATTATGCGCAGAACAAATATCGCTGGATTTTTTGGGGGGCTAAAATGATGAAAAATATGCCCTTTCCGCACTGAGCCAACCTGACACTTGAAACGTGCACGATGATTTTCGGTTCGCTCGGAGCACGCCGCGGGGGGTACGGTACAAGCGAAATGATAGTATGCGCATGCGTACAAGTGCTTGTACCGTACCCCCCGCGGCGCGCTCCGACCGAACTGAAAATCATCCTGCACGTTTCAAGTAGCTCAGTCCGGAAAGGGCATATTTTTCATCATTTAAGCCCCAAAAAAGACAAAATCCAGCGATGTTTGTTCTGCGCATATTTTGTGAGTATGTCATGAGATGTGGTACGGAGTTTAGGGGCAAACTGTGGAGCGGTTCTGTGGGAAATTTCTGCATTTTGATGGACGTTTTTGTACTTAATTAGTGTTTTGTGCTGAAAACAATTTTGCGGGGTTCTTAATCTATGAGGCTCTAGGAGTAATCGATCGCATAGCCGTGCACAGACTAGTTACCGCATTTTCATCGTGTCTTCTAAATTGGCACGGCGGGAACCAGTCATCGCCGCATTGAGCTGGGTTTACGCACATGATGAAAGTCACCGTGACATCGAGTTGCGAAGTAGTCATATCGCGAAGCGAATTTGTAAAAATAACGGAGGTTTCTTTTGAAAAAAATAGCGAATGTAAGTAAGAAACCAAATAAATACAACAACCATTTTTTTGACGCAGATTTATTTGGCTGGCCAGCCGGACCACTTGGCAAGGTGTTTCAGCTGGTCCGCCGGCAATTCAACTGGCATTTGGCCAGCGGACCACCGCTAAGGTCGAACCCTGCATTATTACGGATTATTAATTCGTTATTACGGATTATTAATTCGTTATTACGGATTATTAATTCCTTATTACGGATTATTAATTCGTTATTACAGATTATTTAATTCGTTATTACGGATTGATAATTCGTTATTACGAAATAAATCTAGTACTCACATGCGGAGAGCACGTGATCAGAATGCACTGAGAGCTGGATAGGGTTTAATCAAAATGCAAAATTTCAGGAACAAATCCCCAGATTGTCTTAAAGCATAGTATCACCGACCCTGATCACAGAATGACCGGTCTTGAGTTTCGCTAGATCAGACAAAGGCCCATTGGCGGCATGCCGCAAATTTTACATTTAATCAAATTTGAGAACAAGATCAAATCAAGTATCATTAGCTTGGAACTTGTAGATTATGGAAAAAACAACTTAAGAGTGAATATAGATCAGACTAATTAACTTAAGTTAAAAGCAGCGCAAAAAGCGCAGGGGGGGGGGCGTAGCCTTTACCCCCACCTTTTCTTTTCGCTCATACCCTTGCGACACAACGGCAGAGGAGAAATTAAAACCAGCTTGTACATGTATTGGTGCCTTGGCACTTGTGAAATATGAAACTATGACTAAAGAGTGATCTTAGGTCAAAATAATTAAAATACAGGAAAAATTAAGGAAAACTTAACATGAGGGGGTTGCGCCCCTCCCCCTCATGTTAATTTTTCCTTAAATGGTCGCAATGCACTTTTTAAATCCCGCCAAGTTTCTCTGACAGTTGTTCAGATGTCCTGTGGTTATTTTAACACCAAGTTTACGTAAAAAGGGCATACCTTCGTCGCAAAATGTCCATTTACCAAAACAGGTTGAATTGAACATGAACTTTTCCCATGACATTGACCATGTTATGTACATGAGAGTGCACATGAGATCGATGTAATAACGAATTAACTATCCGTAATAACGAATCAAATAATCTGTAATAACGAATTAATAATCCGTAATAACGAATTGAATAATCCGTAATAACGAGTTAATAATCCGTAATAACGAATTAATAATCCATAATAACGAGTTAATAATCCGTAATAACGAATTAATAATCCGTAATAACATATACACTGTATTTGCAGTGACGCTAATGGGCTTTTGTACAAACATAAGTAAATCTAGTTTCTTTAATTTTTCCTTTTCAGTCATCTGCCCATAGCATTTGTACACATATTTTTGTTACCGCCACTTTAGCCACTTAAATCGACCAGATTGCCTTTATACTTGGCAGGCGTACACTTACCTGCACGGTGTTATGTTTTGGTTAGGTTAACTCTTGTCAGCACGATAACTTGAAAAATACTTTCCTTAGGAGCTTGAAATTTGGTTTGTGGATTGTTCTTGGTAGTCTTAAGAAGCCTATTGATTTTGAGGCCGACAGGTCAAAGGTCAAGACCACTATTCCTAAAACAAAAGAAATCTTGTCAGCGTGATAACTTCAGAAATACTTTACTTAGAAACTTGAAATGTGGTTTGTGGGTTGTTTTTGGTAGTCTTAAGAAGCCTATTGCTTTTGGGGCCGAAAGGTCAGAGGTCAAGGTCTCTATATTGCTAAAACAATAGAAATCTCCATTTTGGTTAGGGACACTGACTTTATAAAACCTGCCAGCATGCCAGGAGGATTGCGCGAGTCTCACTTGCAGTATTTTTTTAATATCGAGGCCTGAGCCTATAATCTAATGTCGACATTATCCACTTATAGTCAGTGAGGAGTGAACAATAAAGAAATATCAAAATCAACTTAGTTTTTAAGAACAAAAAAATCAAACTATCGCATATTGTTTTCAAATGGCGATTTGCTCTCACCCTCAATTTTTGAGGGTCATTCTGAGGCTATTTTCTTTCCTTCACTTAACGAAACTGACCAAAAGTTGGTTTAGCCCCATTTTTGTCTCACCTGGACTTTGTTCACAATCACTATGTCTGGGTACGTATACTGTACATGTACATGTATACCAGTACCGATACATGTACGGTATTTTGGTTAAAGTTTCGTAAAATTTGTCCCATTTCAAAAGTTGAAAGTCCAATTGGAACCAAACTTGGGTCATAGATGCAACATGGGAACCTTCATATGATACTGATGTCAAAGGTCACATACCAAAGTCAAAGGTCATCCGAGGTCAAGTTGTGAAATAGGCTTAAATGTAAAATTGGTCTCATTTGAAAAGTCGAAGTCCAATTGGAACCAAACTTGGGTCATAGATGCAACATGACAACCTTCATATGGTAATTAAGTCAAAGGTCACGTACCAAGGTCAAAGGTCATCTGAGGTCAAGCTGTAAAATGGGCTAAACATGTAAAATTGGTCTCATTTGAAAAGTTGAAGTCCAGTTTGAACCAAACTTGGGTCATAGATGCAACATGGGAACCTTCACATCATAATGATGTCAAAGGTCACACATCAAAGTCAAAGGTCACTCTTTAAAGATAATCACAAAAGCAGGCAAGACGTGTGGTTTCAAGATGCATTTACAATGCATATTGTGGTTTACAATATATGCATTGTAAATGTAGATCCAAGCCTCAGAATGACTCTTATTTATTTCTAAGCGTGTTCCACTTTTAAAAAATATGTAATTTGGGTATACTACAACATGTATAATATTTTGCTTGTTTTACTCTTATTGTTTTTTATCTTTGCAAAATTTTATCCCAACGTGATTTTTTCTAGGTCTGTTGGGGGGGGGGGGGACTCCATGTAATGTTTAGCATCAAGAAGTTTTTCTTTTTTTCTTTACTACCGTATGCAGATTTTTTGTATGAATGTGCAATAAGTGTTTTCTAATTGCACTCTCCACTCGCCTGTTAGTTTTTTATTATTTTCTTTTTATGTTCTGTGTAAAGTTTGAATGTAATGTCTTGTCTACTTTTGTAATTTTATTTTCTTTGTTTAATTATATTCCCATGTAATTTAATGTGAGGGCTCCTTTGGAAACCAGTTTTCTTAAACTGAAATGGACTACCCTCGTTGAAGATTACAATAAATAAAATAAACATAAAATAAAACTCCCGGCGGTTCCACTACTCACATGTTCAGAGTGCAAGAAAACCTGCATGCAGCATTGCTCTACATGTGCCATGTGTCCAACAATTTTCCAGAAAGCACATGTGTGAGCAGCCTCCAGCAACCATTCATACATGAACAGTCTGGAAGGATCAAAGAAAACACGTGCAAACTTTTCTTTTCTTTCTTTTATAGGAAAAGTTAGAGCATTCTCAAAATGAATATTTGCGGCAAATCAATGAACTTCAGGATGAGTTGGCTCAGATCAAGGCTATCCGGGAAGAATTGTCCAAATACATCAGGGAATTGGAGCAGCATAATGATGATTTAGAAAGAGCAAAAAGGTGAGTGTAATTCAAAAACTTTTTACCAGTGTGGCCTATAATCTATTTCCTTAATTTGAACTTAAAATGAAAGGAAACTCGTGTACTAGACGTACATGTACGTGTAATCATTAAGTGCATGCACAAAGTACAGTGGCAATACAATCATGGACTGAGAGACCACGGTGGATCATGGACTGAGCAACCACGGGGCAACGTGCACGCTCCACCAGCCCTGCTCAAACATTGTGAATCTGAGTTTTAATGCTTGGAATAAATACATGGAAACAGAAAAAATACCAGACATTGCACTGTTTACTGACCATATGTAATGAGCAATTTTGTAGTAAGCAAAGTGCTATCCAAAAACCCCCAAATTTGTGTGTAGTGATGACGAATTTTGTGTAGAATATAAATGTATTTTCAATGTAGACATACATGTACAGTCAAATTCTGATAACTCAAAACTCTGTTTATCTCAAAGTAACACTTTATTCCTGCCAAGTGTGTCCCGTAACTCAATTTCCCGCAGCATACATCCGTTGAACTCAAAACTTTTGTTTAGTGCTGCTGCCGAACCACCAAACCGAGCGAAAATTCGCAGAACATAGCACTTCACAACCGAACTGAATGAACCAAACCGAACTGAATTCAGATGTTTGGGAACACAATTTTTAGCATGGCATATTATAATCAAATCTAAAATAATAAAAATGTGCACCATAAAATTATCAAATTTTACTTCTAGTCAGACAAAAACAATATTTTCAGATTGACAGTACCGACTTAAAATGAAAGGAAACTCGTGTACTAGACCTACATGTACGGTACATGCAATCATTAAGTGTATGCACAAAGCACAACGGCAACACAATCATGGACTGAGCGACCACGGTGGATCATGGACTGAGCAACCACGAGGTAACGTGCACGCACCACCAGCCCCGCTCAAACGTTACAAATCCGAGTTTTAATGCTTGGAATAAATATATGGAAAAAGAAAAAATACATATACACAGAAAAGATATCTTCCACTTTTATGAAATAACTAGCTAAAATCTTTAGTTTTATATTGTTTCAGAAACATTTGCTTGACATTTCATTTCATGGTGTGGATGTTACTCAGTTGGCTGGTTCCTGTTCTTATACCAGTGGGAACTAGTCTATATGTGCAAAGCATGCAAGATCTTGCAAAGCAGCAAAAGTCTTGCTGTTGACGTGGCGTCAACGTCAGAAAAAAACTTGTTTGACATGTGCACGTGCTTCATACATAGTATTCTCAATCACCATCGATGTGAAAGAAGTACAGGAAAGGGGTAATTTATGATAGTTTTTGACATGGCAATGTTGTTGAGATGCGTTTCTGGTAAGACCAAATGGGCAATATGAGACCTGTTATGTAGCACCTTCTAATGGTATACAAGGTGCTGCGGCGCACATTGCTGCCACTGCCAGAAACACTGGGGGTTTATGTGCATTACGTCCCATCCAAAGGACGAAGCAATGATGGTAAAGTACCTTGCTCAAGAGCACAAGCACCATGTTTCCACGGTCAGGATTTGAACCCATGCACCACGGCACACAAGTCGAACACCGTAACCACAGCACCCCACAAAGTAGATAAGTGTTCTTAGCACTTACAATGCAAGTCATAATTCATGAAGGTACCGTAACAACATTGGTTTGAGTTTTAAGTTAAATAGGGAGTTTTTCTATTTTTTTTTTCAGAACTACTGTCACATCCTTAGAAGATTTTGAAGCTAGATTGAATTTGGTGAGTATTCTGGTTGAGTTGACACACATGCAAAGTGAGAAAGGTACGGGTACCTGAGATGAAGTTGTCTAAAAACAAATGATGAAGAAATAATTTGGAGAAAAGGTTGTGAGGATACTGTCATTTTGAAGTTTAATAAATGGATGCATGTCTCAAAATGAAGTTTCAAATAATTCCTAAATTAACCAGTTAACACCAGATGATGTGTAAACATGTTTCAATCTGGCAATGTATATTAGCAGGGGTGAGTGACAGGTTCAATTGTCAAGCTTTCCCCTAGTCTCTGGTGGTGGACATGTTAAAAAAAGTACACGTCAGTGGTTACCATTGTTTTTGTACATACTGAGTGTTGAACTTAACTTGGCTGCTGGACACGGCCTGTCATTATAGCAAATATCGCTCCATGGCGGGGCCTCAGAGTGTTACAAAAAGTGTTGTTAAATACGCAGTTAAAGTGAGAATTAACATACAAATATTTACAAATGACTCTCAAGAGCCAGTATTTATGGTGTTTGGCTTGATTGTAAAATTTGGCCAATACATTTTGTCTTTTTCAAAAATGGTATATTTTCGGTCAATAAATAATCCCGTCATCAAGTGATTCAGTAGATGGGTAACAATATTTTTCAATATATTTAATATATCGTCGTGTCCGTGCAACAAGGTCGTATCTCCTAAAATGGGCCGTATGTGAAACGCGAGTTTCAGAATTTCAAAAGGTCGTACTCACTCAAAATAACCCGGATGTACACACAAAGTCAACGGACGTCGAGATACAACCTTGTTGCACGGAGCGTATTCACACAAGATACGTCTTTGTTGCAGAATGGAGTTACGACCTTGTTGCACTGACGCGACGATATTTAAATATCCTGCCAAGGTATAATGACTAGTTACTGGTGGGAATAACATATGTCCCCTTGACATGTACCTCTACATGTACATGGACATGTACATGTAGGAGATCAACAACATTCTCACAAAGTGTTTCTTTATGGTCACCAGTTACTGGCAACATTAAAAGATCACACTGCAGTTGGTCACCACTTCAACCTGCCTAACAGTTGCATTCCTGAATTTTTGCCTTACCTGCCCATCGCACCCCACTTTCCTTTTTGTTCTCTGCTTCCTTTGTCTACCTAGTGTCTACCCCTTCTTTGTGTTGTTCCTTGCACCCATGTATGCTTTTGTGTGCTTGTGTGTCTCTTGCTTGTTTGTTACTGTTCCCCTGTCATAATAATAATAATAATAATAATCCTGGAGTCTCATATAGTTTACCTATCTACCAGTAATAAGGTAAGTACTCAAAGCGCTGATAATTATGTCTCATTTTCAAAGACAGGTAAATGAAGTATGTGAAAATATGAGACCCAATGTGTACCACCTTAATAAGGGTTTACAAGGTGCTGCGGCTCATTTGCAGCCACTGACAGAAACACACCAGGGCAAACCCCTTCTCTTAGTGATGAGTGTTACTGGGTTCTTTTTACGTGCATTGCACAACACACGGGACCTACGGCTTTACGTCCCATCCGAAGGACGAAGCAATAATGGTTAAGTGTCTTGCTTACGGACACAAGTGTCAAGACCAGGACTCAAACCCAACTCTGCTCAGTCTGCTGATCAGAAACCGCTCGGCCATGACATGCCAATATTGTGTCTTTGTGTCTTTGATAATGATCCTTCCAGGATCAGGCCGCAAAGCTTTTCTAATAATAATAATACCGGAGTCTTATATAGCGCACATATCTACCAACAATTAGGTACTCAAGGCACTGGAAATTATGTCTATCAATTTAAAGACAGGTAAATGAAGCTTTTATGAGAAATATGAGATCCATTATGTATCACCTTATAAGGGGCATAAAAAAATTGTCACTCACAACATCCCCTTGCAGTATTTTTACCCCTCAGCTGAGAGGCTCGAGGGGTATTGTCATCGCCTAGGGTGTCCGTCCGTCTTAGCGGTCTAGCCAGACGGAATTGTGGGGTGATAGCATTGTGTTCCCATTATCCCTTTTTCTAAAGATTCTCTTCTGGTGTGATGTTTTTTTATTGTGAAAATAGTGGGGTGATGTGTCCTGAAAGGAACATCACCCCACAAGGGGGGTATGGTCAGAACGCTAAGACGGCCGTTCCAGCCAGACGGAATTGTGGGGTGATAGCATTGTGTTCCCATTATCCCTTTTTCCTGGAACGTCCGTCCGGGCAGCTTAGTTTCCGGATGATAACTTGAGTTAATAGAAATGTTGTTTGGGGTTGTAACTTTGGTAGGGAGTTGCCCTTGGGAGTAGGCAAGTTGGGATTGCTTTTGGGGTTCAAAGGTCAAGGTCACCATGGTGAGTTAAAGGTAAATAGTTTCCGGATGATAACTTGGGTTAGAAATGAGATTTTGCTGTCTAACTTTGGTAGAGGGTTGCCCTTGGGGGTAGGCAAGTTGGGATTGCTTTTGGGGTTCAAAGGTCAAGGTCACCGTGGTGAGTTAAAGGTAAATGGTTTCCGGATGATAACTTGGGTTAGAAATGAGATTTTGCTGTCTAACTTTGGTAGAGGGTTGCCCTTGGGAGTAGGCAAGTTGGGATTGCTTTTGGGGTCAAAAGGTCAAAGGTCAAGGTCATCGTGGTGAGTTAAAGGTAAATGGTTTCCGGATGATAACTTGAGTTGGAAATGAGATTTTGCTGTCTAAATTTGGTAGGGGGTTGCCCTTGGGGGTAGGCAAGTTGGGATTGCTTTTGGGGTTCAAAGGTCAAGGTCACCGTGGTGAGTTAAAGGTAAATGGTTTCCGGATGATAACTTGGGTTAGAAATGAGATTTTGCTGTCTAACTTTGGTAGAGGGTTGCCCTTGGGAGTAGGCAAATTGGGATTGCTTTTGGGGTCAAAAGGTCAAAGGTCATGGTCACCGTGGTGAGTTAGTTGAGTTAGAAATCACATTTTGCTGTCTAACTTTGGTAGGGTTGCCCTTGAGTAGGCAAGTTGGGATTGGTTTGGGGGTCAAAGGTCAAGGTCACCGTGGTGAGTTAAAGGTAAATGGTTTCCGGATGATAACTTGGGTTAGAAATGAGATTTTGCTGTCTAAGTTTGGTAGGGGGTTGCCCTTGGGGGTAGGCAAGTTGGGATTGCTTTTGGGGTCAAAAGGTCAAAGGTCAAGGTCACCCTGTTGAGTTAAAGGTTAATAGTTTCTGGATGATAACATGACTCTGGTTGAGGGGTTTCAACAGCAATGCTGTTATTTTTAAAGATTGCATATATATTTGTATGTGAAAGAAATTCCTGAAATCGTACATCAATTGCTAACATTTGAAGAAAAGAACATACAGATTATATCAGTGCAAAAACTCCGTGATGATGTCATCAAACCCGAAGTTTCAGATGGAGTTGGCATTTGATCATCAAACACAGTTTCTTGCTAATAAGATAGTTCTCTTTATTATAACTGTAATTTATCACAATTCTCGATCGGAATGGAGATTGCTCACTAACCTTCCTGAATTGTCTGGTCTTCTATTTTGTTTAAATCTTACTTTTCAACTTAAAAACTTCTGGCAGTGGTTCAGTCCTTCTGATTTGAAAATCACAGGCGTGTGGAAAAAGGCACACCTGGATTTTTCTAGGTGTGTGATTTTTTTCTAGGCGTGTGATTCTGTGGTCCAAGCTGGGACTGATCAATCTGGTATTTCTTTTTTATACTATTCATCTTGGTTTACAGTGAACTTAAAAACCAATAACACTAACACCCCCCCCCAGAAAACACATTATTTAATTAATAGCTTGGTTCAAAACAAGAAAGTCAGTTAATGCACAGTAAATCTCACAACACTGACAGCTAACAGTTGAAATTACATGTACTTTGCGTTGTAACAGAACTTCATAATAATAACATCAGGAGTGCAAACTACTCCACTTTTACTTTGACAACCATGTCCTTCCCGCTGTCATCATCTTGCTGTACCCTGTACCCTATGTCGCCCATTCCCTCCCACCTCTTAAAAATACGAATCAGTCATGATTAAACCAAAATGTGCTTCGCGAGCTAAGTTTTGTGAAGTAAAAACATGTGTCAAGTTTTGTAACGCCCACGGCCGTGTTCTGTGTGAGGCAACCTGATTGGCTGGTGACAATAACTGCACCCAGTTTCGGCCAATGGCGTTTAAGTTATCAAGTCTGTGTTCAGCGTTCAGCTTTGAAACAAGGCGTCCGCTTGTTTTACTGTGGGCAGTCAGCTTGTACACACGTGCGTATTCACCGTATGTCGTGTACAGTACATGTACATTCTACGCACAGTCTGGTAGCGCCCGCTTGCCCCATGCAGTTTACAACATAATGTACATTTAGTGCGTAATTCTCTACACGTGCTGAAACAAGGTTACTGTTCACGCTGTCAACAATCAACATGGCGTTCCACACTGCCCAGCTGTTTTGCGATATAAACGATATTGGTAGGCCTAATGCTTGATTTTTTTCTCTTCTCCCACGTACTTTTTTTCATAAATTACGGAGTATAATTATGCTGTAAACGTATGCCGAGGTGTGCGGTACAGAGGGATCCAGGCGTGGGATTATTGACACCTCTCAGGAAGCTTTTAGGCTTGCGATGGCGTCAAGGGCGGATCCAGAACACGATTTGGGGGGGGGGGTGGCCCAAAAAACTTTTGTCACCCAAAAAGTGGGTCAAAATTTTTTTGGGATTCTAGATGCTCTGTGGTGCGATCTGAGGCAATTTCTGACCATTTTAACCAATGTTTTTTTGAGGAAAAGATGGTGGTGTACTCATTGCCTGCCTTTATTGCGATGTCACATAAAAAATATAAAAAATTGGTTTCGTTTTTGGGGGGGGGGCCATGGCCCCCTTTGCCCCCCCCCCCCCCCCCCCCCCCCCCCCGAATCCCTTGGATGGTGTGGGGGTGCGATCGCACGCCTCAAATCAGAAGGACTGTGGTTTGATATTTTTCCTGTTTAATGCCTGTGAGAATAAGTATGCACACGGTATGTGAGCGGAGGTGCATTCTCTATTATTGCGGTAGGTGGAAACTGGTTTCTTCAGTGGCCTCAACAATTTTTATTCCTACTTACGTTGGACCTATACATCCCCTGAAATAGTCTGCTAATTACCTAAACAGTCCATTTTGATTTAAGTTGGTTAGGCCTGCATAATGAGACCCCCTGGCCCCTTAGGAAAAAATGGTTATCACTGAGACAAGTCTACTGATTGATGATTCGCATTTTTAATTCTTCTTTTTAAACAATTCACCAGAAAGTCCTTAGTTAAGGATGACCAGGATGAAGATCACCACTAGTATTAGTTGCCGTTATAGTCCTACTATACATGTAGTATGTGAGATTAAAGGGAATATACAACATTTGCAACATCGAAAAATAAAACTACCAAGTTTTTACGAAATACCTTACTAGGATGTTTGTAAATGATAGTCTGAAGCATCCTGTAAAATTATGGCACCTGGTGTGAGGTCATTTTCAAGAAAATGGTATTTTTGTATACATTTCCAACGGTGGTCGGCCGACCACCGTTGAAAAACCTGACTATTTTCAACTACTGCTCCAACTTTACACTTTTTTTTCAGTCCAAATTTTGTTTGCTATTGGTTACATGTTCATGAGCGGGTGTAGGCCAGCTAGACTGGTTCCCTTATCTTACACTTTTCCGACATCTATAATTGATCCATTTTATCTTTAGTGGAGTCAGGAAACCAGACTATATAAACAGTTGTGTTTTTGTTGGTTTTTCAAGCATTTTAGAACACAAAACTTCAAACATGTCAGTTAAACAACATTTGATCTATTATACTAACCCCTCAAATAGTTCATTTCTGAAAATTACAGCAAAAGCCAATGATGTACATTCCCTTTAACATAAAACATTGTACTAACAAAAAGTCTGCTTCCAGAATGTGCATATTTGAGTGTGTTCATGATGATGATATTCAAAAACAACCACAAAGCAATAACATACCATGTTCTTTTGGAGCAATTAAGACGAGTTCATAAATGCTGACCTTCCATCCCCCCCCCCTTTACAATCATTCTTTGTGTTGAAATTTGTTTAACAAACTTCCTCATATTTGTTCTCAACACCTCATGTTCGTTCTTTACCAAACGTGATCTATTTTTTTTTTTTCATCTCAATAATTCTTCAAGAATTCACAAAATGGAGTGGTAATTATCTTGGGAACAACTGTAAAATGAGTTTACAAATTAGCTGCACCTTCTAGCTGAAGTTCAGTTAACAATGATTAAGTAACAACTGTTTAAATTGAATCTCGCTCAATTTTTTTCTAGTAAGTTTACAATTCTCCACTCATTGAAAATTTGAATGTCAAGGTGTTATTGAAACTCAAGTTTTGTGTACATCGAAGTTTTAAAAAAATTCCCATTGGCATTATTCTCAAACAGATTCACAATCTTTTTTAAGATTCAAATTTCAAAGTGATCATGTCAATAAGATATCTGCAAGTAGAAATTGAAGGCGATTTGGTTTTCGTAATGTACATGTAGTGTAACTGGGAAATTCTGTTACTGACCTCATATTATTTGTAATTCGTAAACGAAATGAATTAAAAAAAAATGAAAAATGGAAATAGAAGGTAGTGGTTAGAGTAAAAGAACAGAGATGTTGTTTTGATCTTGTACAAAAAAGGGACTTGTAAGCCACATGCTTTGAAGTTGAACACAGGAGTCTGAATGTCATTCCGTTACCCTGGAATTGCCCATGTCTATTAAACAGTTTACATAAGGCAATGTGATATCATGACAATGAAACTATTTATATCATTTGATGACCTTAAATATCTCATAATAAATTTTTCTTTCCTTGATAGGCAATTGAGAGGAATGCATTTCTGGAGAATGAACTTGATGAGAAGGAAAGTCTGGAAGTAACAGTTCAGAGAATGAAAGATGAGGCACGAGGTAGGAATAACATCATTCCCCACTAATGATGCTCATATGTATAGGCTCCATGCTTGTGCTCTGAGGGTAGGGGTTTGTAAGCATTCAACTGCATATTTTTTAGGGCAGGTTTGAGACTGTTTGTTGAATTTTCAGTTACACGTTCATGTTTTATTTCCAGCAAATGTTGCCATCAACATAAATAATCAGTTTTCTTAAGTGTTTCATACTTTCAAAGGTCAACTATTTAACATTACATCTGTACCAAATTCAGCGCGTCCCAAAATACTCGCAACATTTTTTTGCGAGGCTCTAGCGTCACCGCGGAAACACGTACCGCCATAATTTTTATATCATTTTAAAGCTTGGAATCTTAACTTTATCCCTGGTAAGTATTGGTTCGATTTTCAAAAGGGTTTTGAAATGATGTGTGTTCAAATAAAGGCATGTCAACAATAAACTCAACCGATTTCAGGGAAAATCAATCGTGCATTTTTTCTAATGTGGAAATGGTTCATCATGTCCATGATGTGACAATCTCGCTACCTTTAACTTTTTGTGTTTCGTATTCTTTTTGATTCACGCTTAAAGCGTGACTCGAGTTTGCATCTGATGTACCGCATCATCGATTTTCCTTGAAATCAGTTGAGTTTGTTTTCAACATGCCTTTATTTGAACAAATAAATTTAAAACTCTTTTAAATAGAAACCAATATTCTCCAGGGATAAAGTTCAGATTCTTAGCTTTAAAATGGTATATATTTAATAATGGCAGTACGTGCTCGCGCCGACGCTTGAGCCTCTCAAAAATAAACTTGTGGGTATTTTGGAATGTGCTGTATAATGCTTGCCAATAAATAGCAAGTTACTCCAGCTACAGGCTTGATGATATGAAGGAAATTGGTCCCATAGTGCCATCAGTGTTGAAGTTTGGTCCGAGTCCGAGTCCGAGTCCAAGTCAACTCTCTGTTGAGCGGGATCCATTAAAATGCATGTCAATACTACTATGAAATATCCAGATGTCTTTGTGATAATAAAACAATATTGGAAGCCTGATCTTAATAATAGTCATACGTGTACATACCTAAGACGTGGGTGGTCTTAAACCGCCATTCATAAATACCTAAGACAGTTTACGCATTCCTATTGGTCGAGAGCCCGTCACGTGGCCGGTCTTAAACGGATGATAAAGACATGGCTAGCTGGTCTTAAACACTTTTCCAGTGTCACAATAAAATGTGGACTCCAGTGCCTCTTATCGTTTCATTGGTTGAACGTTCACAATCCTCACGTAGACATGCGCAACACTACCAGGGAGTCAGAATTTTATAGTTTTAAATTCAAAACGCAACGCGCCAGGTGCGTTCTGCGCGACATCGGGCAGAACATGATACGCACGCGTCAATCTCCATAAAAGGGTTGTTTACATCTTACTCGCCAGCTGAACACTCCATTTTGCAAGAGGGATGTTTCAAAAAGCATAAAGTGAATTTGTTGAACAAAATCGGGATGTTTTGAATGAATTATATGATTTTTTTTTTACCGAAAAGGTATTTATGAATGGGAATAAATATGTGCTCCGTCGGTATTTATCACTCTGTTTAAGACCACTTAGAGTCTGGGTGCTGATAATTACCCGAGCCGGAGGCGAGGGTAATTATCAGCACCCAGACTCTAAGTGGTCTTAAACAGAGTGATAAAAACCTCCGGAGCACACATTTATTCCCTTATTCATAAATACCTAAGACAGTTTACCCATTCCTATTGGTCGAGAGCCCGTCATGTGACCAGTTTTAAACGGTTGATGGTCTTAAACACTTTTCCAGTGTCACATGAAATACTATAAAATCCGGTGTCTTTAACCCTTTTATTTCAAAAAATTAAACGATATGATATGGAATAAAATTGAAGTTTAATTGTAATTCTACTGAGTCACCACTAGCACTGAAGGACTTACGTGAGATTGCTTCAGAGAGCTCATTATCTTAAACAAAAGAGCGTGCCCCTATATCACGGTGCCCCATACACATCAGGGCAGTTTTGTACATGGAACGTTTGCAGTCAGCCAATGGGAGGGTATCAGAGTCGAATACTCTAAATATTTCTGTCATTTATGACTTGGGACGGAACGTAAGTCCTTCAGTGCTAGTGGTGACTCGGTAGAATGACAATTAAACTTTCAATTTCAACTTTATTTCATTTTCATTTCGTTTAATTCTTGAATTCTACCTCGTCACCACATAGCACCTCGGCCTTACGCGAGATGTTTGGAGCAACTCTGACTGCAAATACAGATTAAAGGACAGCAAGTACATGTTCACCAAATACAGGTGTACAACTTCCAAAAAGTACATAGACTTCAAATGACATTGGGTTATTGGAATAACATCTTTTTCACCCGATATTTTATTCATCATAAATGTGCATATTTATGGCACTTCCTGTATTATCAGTAATTCAATTTTGAACATTTTATACATGACTTGAAGTGAGAGCGCCGGTCCTTACTCAGCAAAATACAAAGTTACTTCTTTACTGTATTTTCAGTAGAATAAACATAAATTAAAGTTGAAGTTAAAGCGCCGGTCTTTAGCGGCATTGTGATACAAAAGTAAGTTCTAGCTAATTCTTGCCAAGAACCCCATCAGCAAAAGCGGAATTTCCAACAATACTTTTATTGTAGTCCTCCGTGTAGGTGGAGCATTTTGACCACCCATCAGTTTTCATAATTGCATCTATTGACACTCCGTACCTGAAAGCGGTACTACATGATGCTGATCTGGTACTATGTGCGGTTAATTTCTCAGTATCTATACCAGCTGTTTTCAATGTACCTTTGATCCAACGGCCGATAGTTTCTGAACCTGCGGCTTTGTGCGGCTGAACATAACTTGAGAATAATCGTCTCTCAGTACCTCTCAGAGGTTTTGTTCTTTGCAGATAATAATGAAGATTGATGCAGCGACTTGTCAACATGGTAAATTCAATCATCCGTGCGCTTTAATTTTGCCCTTTCATTGCAAGCATTAGCATTCCTAGCGCTATCAACAAATACTTGCCGAACTTCCGAACCGTCCATTTCGGTTCGGTTCGGGTTCAGTTCAGACTTGGCGTCCCGTCTGTAGTTCCGTTTTCCATAACCCTGTTTCAGGTTGGAGAAAGAACCCGCACGCTTGCCAAATTTTTGGCCCACTTTGTTTGTCTCCTGAATGTCTTTGCATTGTTGTGAAAGATTATCACCAAACAAAAGCCCAGTTACGGACCTCTGTGCGGAACAGAGACTAGCGAACTGCCGATTCAGGTCAGGCTTAATGAATTCTCGGCGACGTAGATTAAGCTCATCTCTTGCGTAACCAATTATAGCTACAGAGTCACTGAGCTTTGTAATGAGAGCCTTTTGGTTTTCATTCGCATTTCCCATTAAGGATTGCATGCATTGAACAATCAGCACGATACTTTTGAGCAGTGCCTGTTCAACCTTTTGGAGTTTTATATCTGTAGATCTAGTTTTTGATTGCAAATTACTCCAGATTTCTGGATTAACTTGAGAGTGTTTGAGTTTCTCAATGTTGGATGGCCGTTTAAAACTATTGAGTTATTCCTGCAATCTTTTCATCCGACGGTTTGTGTCGGAGCACTTTACTCACTACGGCTGCCAGTTTGTCGTCGACTTTTTCCCCAGAGTCTTCACCGGAGTACAACTGTTCAATGGCGTCGAGTACTCCTCCTGAAGTTTCGTCTTTCCCTGGTTGTAGAAGAAGTTCGATTGCCTTGTCAGTGACAATGGATTTGTCGCTTGAGGAGACCGTTCGTCAGTTTTCTGATGTGTAACTGGTCTGTTGTCGAGGGCAGACACCACTGTTGACTGCAGTGTCTGCATGGCCTCGGCGATTACTGCCATTTTGTCCTGCATAGCCAAGAATTCTTCTTGACTAACAACATTGGTTGTTGCAGTTCTCTTCCTGGCTTCACCGAGGAAGTTGACGCCAGCAGCTTGCCACCAGCAATGGAGCCCGAAGTAGATGGACCTGGGTCCAGTTGTGTCCGGGTTTGCTCGCTGTCCGAAGCAAGCAGATCGAGTAGTGTGGGCTCCGAAGACATCTTGGGTGATAGGTACTGGTCACAAAAATGCACTGAGGCGTATGTGCTGGGGCACCGTTATATAGGGGTGCGCTCTTTTGTTAAAATAATGAGCTCTCTCATGTGTGACGATAGAATACCAGTGGCAGGTGCAATCTCATGTAAGGCCAAGGTGCTATGTGGTGATGAGGTAGAATGGTTGAACGTCATCCTCATGTAGGCATGTGCAATACTACCAGTGAGTCAGTATTTCTTAGACCTAAATTCTAACTACACCTGCACAACGCGTTCTGTGCCACATCACTCAGTATGTGCAACGTGCGTGCCAATCTCCATATAAGGAGTTGTTTATGACAGGGACTTACCATAATACAGCTAGAGGGGTGATTCGAAAACCATGAAGAAAAATTGTTTTTATAAATTGGAGATTTATAAATTTTGACTTGTTTTGACTTTTTGGCTGAAAAGTTTTGATTTTTTTTACCGAAAAGGTATTTATGAATGGGAATAAATATGTGCTTGGCTGGTATTAAACTCTATGTTTAAGGCAGGTTGGAGTCTGGATGCTGATAATTACCCGAGCCGAATTCCCTTGTTAAAACACCAGTCAGCACTGTTTAAAACCAGTCTTAATCAGTGTGCGAGACCATTTTCTTCCGAGTATCTAAGGAAAACACATGTACATATATATGACCAATGTGAAAAATGTGTGTGAATTGTAAATTATTTGGAAATAAAGAGCACAAGAATAATGAATTATAGTACAGAAAATAAGACTGAAAACCTATGAAATTGCTCAGGGAACATATTAAATGACAAGAATTTATGCTGCCAAATAACAAGAACTTAGCAAGGAAATACCATGATTATGTGTCAATCCGTGCATAAACACTTTACTTTAAACATGTAACCTATTAACCTTTTGAAATGTGAGGTAAGCAATGTGGTGAAAATCTGATTGTAAGGTCTTCTTGTTTGCATTGAATGTTTGATCCAATAGATATGGCCCATGAATTGGCAGTAAAAGGCAAGATGATGACTGTAAGGAACTCACAGGTTTTACCAGACAATGATAGGATGGACACGACCCCTCAGAAACATGGCAATACAAGGCTGCCTGAAACAGACAACAAGGTCTTACACGAAGCAGAAACTAATACTACTCCTGGATTAAACAGAGGTTTGTATGTGTATTCAAATTTGATAATGTGTTAGCATATGTCTTTTAGGGCTAAATTATTTAAACATTTAGTTATTAAACAAAGGTAGTCCCCAACCTTCATTGTTTTTCATTGTGCAAAAACTGAATCTTTTATGGATTTTTGAATTTGATAAGGTGCCTTTTCAAAGTTCTGCAACTAAAGAATTACAAGTTTGATTGGTTTGTTACTTGGTATGTACAGAGACAGGGATGTGTTATAGGTAAAAATTGAGGTGACATCATTATGATGTCATCGTTCGATATTTTATTCACTGCCAAATATGTGATGTCACTCACAGGACAACGCAGTGCAACCATGGTTACCGGTTCACGCACACTGCAGTGGCCCAATATGATCGCAGTGTTCTACCAAGGTGGTTGTACATGTACATGTAAACCCAAGTTTTGCAATTGGCTTGACTCTCCACTGGGTAGCCAGAATATGCACAACGTGGTTTTAACTGGTGTGGGGCAATCTTCTGCAAACACTTTACCCGGTTTAGGTACTAATTTGTGAACATTTTCTGTACAAATAGGGTTTAAAATTGCTGTCTGTGATTGTGTGTGCCAAACGTACATGTGCACATGAAATTTGTCATGGTGGTCATTGCATCGAGGAGGTGCTCCTGACCTGTAGAGGAGGTGACGTCACACTTTAGCAGTGAAGAGATGTTTGTAGTTTGAAGTTTATCTCCTTATCTCGCAAACAAAACATGATAAATTAAAATTCTTTGAATATGCACAGAACTGTGACATGTATGACATCCTCATAACTTCTTCAAAAATGCAATTAAAAAAAAAAATATAAGGGAAGATTCGGTTATCATAAAACTTGATGGGTAGTTTGATTAAGTCATCAGTATGCAAAATCCAAAATGATGTCTTGATGAGGTCATCGATTGACTTTAAATATTTTTTTTCTACTTGCACAATTTGATATGAAATGCAATCAGATTGACTTCAAGCAAGGCACAAACAAAACCAGTAGTACAATCAGTCCTAGACATCAACACAAGAGACGTCATGATGACATTATCAGGAGTCACATGGCTTCAGCTAAAAGGTGCATTATTCAAAGAGTGGTATCCAGAGAACCAGCAGTCCGATTGGATTGAAACCAAATTGAGATGACGTTGTGATGATGTCGTCATGTAGATTTTGATGGATCTTAAAATTTGTTATTTCTGTTAAGCAAATCTCAAGAACGAAACATGCTAGTTTGTAATGAAATTGTTTGGTTTAGAAATATGCTCAAAATTGTGGAAAATAAGTTGAACCTCATCATGTACTAGTGTTGTTACCACAAGTACAAGTATCAATGATTATCATTTTAATTTTACACTGAAGAATGCATGGCGGTAAATTGACAGTTTTCTTTGGGGTATATAATTCATTGAACCTTTTTGTAATTAAAGACCTTCAAAAAGAGCTGAACAGCTCTGTGGTTGTTCAGTTACAACCACATCCTTTAGTTTTCGATTGCTTAGTGACACATTTTAGTGTTACTTGTACATTTGTGTGCAATGTTAAGTTTTTTTCTGTCTTTTTGTTTTTTTGGGGGGTGGAAATAATGTGAATAATTGTTCGTAGAAAATAAGCTGAATGCCTATTTTTTTTTGCCATCAGCCGAAACTGGTGGAAGTGCTGGATTCACCCCATTAACGCCTTCTGCCCGAATCTCAGCTCTTAATATTGTTGGCGATCTACTTAGAAAAGTTGGGGTAAGTCTGTGAATCCAGTACTTAGCTACATGGATGTACATGTAATTGTTGAGATGCACTCATACTTCATGTGTTACTGAAGGGCAGTTCCATGCCAAAGTGGACATAGCCACCAAAATTTCAAATGGAATTTCTTATAAAGTTTTGATTTTTATTGGTGTCAAGAAACAAATATCTGAAGTTCATGAATATATATTGTATCATCTGGATTCAGTCATATTGGTTTTTGCAAGCTTTTGAATAAAGATGTGTCATTCAATGTTTGAATCAAAATATTTGGCTAAAAATTGGCAATTGGAAAATTATCATTGTTAATCAAAATCAAATGTATTTTAGTGTCATTTAGTAGTTCCAGTACTGAGGATATCTCCTGAAATTAAGTGTAAGAAATGCAATTTTGTTGGTTTTAATTAAGCTGGGTGCAGTCAATGTTGAGGTCTGCCTGTTGACCAGGTTAACTTGTAACATTATGTTTTGCACAAGTTTTTCTGTTAACATCAAAACAGTTACAAATACAGGGTGTTCAAAAAAAAAGAGGAAACCAAGCTTATTTGGGTGGCATGGGTGGCTTGTGCGTAAAGCGCTCGCCTCTCACCAAGGTGACCACGGTTTGAATCCTGGCCGTGGATCACATGTGAGTAGAGTTGTGCCACGAGGGTTTTTCTCCGGGCCCTCCGGTTTTCCTCCCTCCAAAAAATCAAACACTTTTGATCTCAGGCTGTGCTCCGTGGTCATATATGGGTCGATGTGGCCGGCAGCCATAGGCGCCTTTACATGCCAGCGGCCCTACCACGTTGTAGCCGCGTCCTTCGCAATTCAGCATACCAGCTGCGAGTAAGGATGATTAGTCTCCCAAATTATTATTATTATTATTATTTTGTTGATTTCTCGGGTATGACTAATTATTTAGGAAAATGGCAACCACCATCTGTTACATATCCATGACCCATGTCATCTTTTTCTTGACACAACAAACTCCATTTTACCGTCACGGATGACTGAGCACCAAGTGATGTAACTGACATCCCAGAAACAGGCCTTGTACCACATGCACCATAAGACCAATTGACAGTTATCAGAGAGAGAGACGTTATCAGGAATGCGTTCACAGCAGAACCAGGGCAGAGATTTGCGTTGAAAGGAATGGGGGTCATGTTGAAGGACAGTGGGATTAATGGGGACAGTGATAAACCTTGATATGTTTTAGCAATTGAATAAATGACTTTGATAATGTACGTCCTGGATTTTGTTATTTTCAACATACCATAGAGCTATATTAAATTACTAGAGTGCTAACTCCTCATTCTTATGCGCTGACATTTTGAATTCATGTGCGTGTTTGTAGAACATAACAAAATTAGATGGATTGAATTTTGAAAGTGTACTCTAAATGCAACGGGCAAGGAGAACATACGCAAACAACTTAAGCGCGTCATGACGGTTAAAAAACGTCAGGGTAAAAATCATCTGCACGCGTTTGCGCGATTTGCGCATGCAGAACAAAATGAAAGGTTCATTTGTTTTGTTTAAGCTCAGCCGTGCATAAATTTAGGCCTATATTATGCTAGAAATCCTCAGCACTGCCCCAGTATGTCACTGGCTCTGTCTCAACATATTGACAGTGATTGCTGGAGGATTTTGCAGGATTTAGGCAGTGGTCACCCCTCCAGGGACCACATTCAAGAAATAATGGATGATTTTGCAGGATTGAGGTTGCATCGTAGCAAAAATGCCTAGGGAGTTAGGGTTAATAAGTAACAGTTCTTTCATTTTCTCCCTGCAATCTATTATACAATTGTTTGGAAGTACTGACAACTTTACAGGATGAGGTTTTAAAGCTGTTTTGCTTTAAAAAAAAAAAAAAAAAAAAAAAAAAAAGAACCAGACATGGATCATATAAAATTGGCCAGCGGAATTTACTTAGAGACTCTGAAACCCATAACTTAATGACCTGATGTTATGGGTTATAGCAGATATCTAGATAGTGCAGATACTGTATGTTCAGTGTGGGGATACTGAAAGAGCTAAAGATGGAAATTTGTTTTCTCCATGCAGGCTTTAGAATCAAAGTTGGCATCGTGTAGAAATTTTGTGAAAGAGCCACCTAGGAAAGCCAATAGTCCTGTTGATTCACCAAGGTATGTTCAACAAGTGTTTTTTGAAGAAGTCTTTGTAGACTGTAGAAAAGAGGAAAGCACTCACCATGGAATGTGCCATAAAGATGTTTTCCCCATATATGCACGTATACACTGTATATACATGTACAGGTATGAAAAGACTGAAAGCCTGCCATTTTTATTCAATCTCTCCCCCCAATAAAAAAAATAATGTAAAAGGGATTTACTTTGTAATGATGCTTTGACATTGGTTTGGAGCTACATGTACTTTATCATGAAGGAGATGGATTCAAATAATTTGTTCAGGTCTAGTTAACAGTACATTGTTGCCTTTAAGAACTGCTTACACAGTGTGACTTCAAATTGCCAGAGTGCCTTCATTGTCCAAACACCATGACAGTTAACTGTAATTCCACCGAGCTGGTCCGACAAAACTCCTTTTGCAACCACATAGCCACATTTCTAAAATTGCACAATATTTTCCAGTTGCTGTCAACTCTGTTTTGAAATACGTAATCTTACTTCATGAATGTTAGATAGGTTGTAAGTTGCACAACCAGAAATGGCAAGCATTATTAAAGGTGTAGTCCATCATTTGCAATTTCTGCATTTTGTCCATTTGAAGCAACAAAAGTGCTCAAAATCTAAAGAAGGGTGCTGAACAACTAACCTGATGAAGTTTCAGCACAGCTTCAGCTGTATATTCCCAGAAAAACAGCATTCTATGATCTCGATTTCTAATCAAAAGTTGCTGAATCATATTTTGAATTGGGCCTGAATTCAGTGCCAGACACGTTCTTACTGAGCCGATTGCAGCTACGCAATGTCGCGCACCGATCCGACGAATTATAGCAACCACGCGCGCGTGTGCGTCGTGCCAAAGCTTGCGCGCGCTTCACTGAATAAAAAAACGAACAACTAACGGAAAGGCCTTCCTTCGTTGATTTCTTCAAAATGACAGCTTGCCAGAAAGAATAATTTCACAGGGAGTTTAGTCCCCTTACTGTCTTTCAACCAAGTATGTTTTTCAACAATAATTGCGTCAGTTACTTTTTGGATAGCTGCAAATGATGGACTGTAGCTTAAAATAAGTATTGATTAAATAAATATTGTTTCTTTATCAATGTGTATGCATTAGGGCAGCCAAGAGAGCCAACAGGACAGGGACAACATCATCAAGTACACTGCAAGGAATGGTTAAGATCACTGTATGATCAACCAGTCCAAGTCCATATACAGCATTTTTAAGGCAGGGTGTACAGAAACTGCAGTGGCAGGTCCAGGGAAGAGGGCACTGAGTGACGCCCCCTTCTCCCTACTACATGTACATTTATGTAGGTTATTATTTTTTTTTACGGCATACAACAAATGCCTATCTTAATGTTATGCTACCGCCAAGCAATCAGTGACTGGAACCACTATTCTGGCCTGTGCCCATGATACATGTACGGCACGCACAGATTGTATGCATACAACACTTGGATTCATTACCTAGTGTACTAATATTCACATGTTCAACATTACAGTGTTCAACAATGAGCATGGTAAATTTAGGAAGCGAGTGCAAAATTACTGATCTCTTTGTCTTATCTGATTTTCATGTTCTGTTGTCAGTGATAGATGTCAAACCAGCCAACAACTTGGGACAGCAGTTCCTCCCCTCAAAACATTTAATTTTTACAAAGTGAATTGACCAATATGACGTCATTATCAGTTCACTACACCACAGTCGGTCACAATCTGTAATGCCATCGTTCAAGCCCCCCCCCCCCCATATCAGCCCCTATTTCCTGAAAGCTAGATGTGCCCCAGGGCCCGTTAGGGTGTGATTTACCTCCCCCCCCCCCCCCCCCCCCATTAATTGTTCTTGTCTTCAAAAAAATATCATCCTGTTGGCAAAATTGTGCAGCACCTATTATAAAAATATAACATGATTTGAGTGTGGATAGTTGATATTAGCGCCCCAAGGTATTGGAAGTTTACAGATTAGTTCCTGAGGCAAAGCAGAGGGAACTAGTCAGTGAACTCCCAATACCTCGGGAAGCTAATATTGTCTATCCACCTGAACTAAACAATGTTCTATTTGTTTTACTGTACCTCATAACCTGTACATATTCACCAAAATTTGGTCAAGTTACACGTCAGTTTTCTTGGCAAAACATTGTTGTATGGTATGTGTGCCCTCATCTTTCCATAGCACTTTTCACTACCCCACGCACCATTACCACAATTGCTTTAGTAAAATGCATACATAGTAGACTAGCGCACGGGTAACCATGGGTGCAAAACTAGCAGATGGATCTTCATTGAGAAATTGGCTCTGGATCGTGAATATGCATGAGGAATGGCAGACTAGTGCTGAAACTGATTCTCCAGGTTCAGTTCAGTTTCGGTTCGGTTCCGGTTCAATTTTTTTCCTTTTTTCCAACATCGGTTCGGGTTCGGAAGTACGTTCTCTTTATTGTGCCGTACAATTTGAACATGTGTACATATCCCCATACGTAGTGTATGTACAATGATTTATGACAGGCAATGAATGTCCTTCCCTCCCCAGTGATGTTGATTGGTCAGCCTTGAAGAACCTAATCACATGCCAAAATGCATGTGCCACGTACGCCTGGCGCTATGGCATGAACAGAGCGCAAGCATTCACAATGTACACAGACTGACACACTGGCCACAGTACCCTGTGCACTTGCACCAATGCTTGACTGGATCTCCACTTTGTTTATGACTACACTCACATGACCTACAATTTGTACAAATATGGGGTTGTGGCTCTAGTCATGCCCACTCACGCGGTTCCCACACACTCTCAAATTTGTATCCTTGTGGAGACATTTCTTTGTTCTCGTGTAGTAAAGTTTTCAATTTTGAAAGTGAAGTTTCAAAATGCTCTTATTTTAACCAGAATTAATTTCCTTGGCTGAAATTCGGACTTAATATCCCTTTTTTAAAACTCTTCCATTTGCGACAAATCAACCCACCTTGGAAATTCCTAGTTTTTGAGTAAAATCCATATATCTATTTCGTGAAAACCTGGTGGAGACCTATTCATCTATAGAAATTTCCCTGTGGAGACCTTTACAATGTTTTGTTCCCTATTGTGTGCGTGTCTCCACAAGGATACAAATTTGTGGTCACCTGCACAGCTGTGTCATGTACACATGGGTGTACATGACAGTGCATATTCATGCAGGGTCGCCATGGGAACAACCATTCATTTTATACTGCACATGTACTGGGCATGGGTGGGACTTGCTGTCTGGGAATGCTACATTTTCGAGGCGGGATGGCTGCAAACTTCCAGGGATACAATCGCGCTTTGGAGACTTGGTATTTTTTTTACCTCATATCTTGTTTTACCTTCCTGAATTGAAAAGACACTGTCCTTTTTACCCCTCAGCGTCCGTCCGTCTGTCCGTTCTGACCATACCCCCCTTGTGGGGTGATTTTCCTTTCAGGACACATCACCCCACTATTTTCACAATAGAAAAACATCACCCTAGAAGAGAATCTTTAGAAAAAGGATAATGGGAACACAATGCTATCACCCCACAATTCCGTCTGGCTGGAACGTCCGTCCGGGCAGCTTAGTTTCTGGATGATAACTTGAGTTAGAAATGTTGGGAGAAGGCAAGTTGGGATTGGTTTGGGGGTCAAAGGTCAAGGTCACTACCACAGTGACCATTTAAAGGTAAATGGTTTCCGGATGATAGCTTGAGTTAGAAATGAGATTTTGGTGTTTACCTTTGGTAGGGGGTTGCCCTTGGGAGTAGGCAAGTTGGGATTGGTTTGGGGGTCAAAAGGTCAAGGTCACCGTGGTGAGTTAAATGTAAATGGTTTCTGGATGATAACTTGAGTTAGAAATGAGATTTTGATGTCTAACTTTGGTAGGGGGTTGCCCTTGGGAGAAGGCAAGTTGGGATTGGTCTTGGAATCAAAAGGTCAAAGGTAAAAGTCACCGTGGTGAGTTAAAGGTAAATGGTTTCTGGGTGATAACTAGGGGGTTGCCCTTGGGAGTAGGCAAGTTGGGATTGGTTTGGGGTCAAAAGGTCAAAGGTCAAGGTCACTGTGGTGAGTTAATGGTTTCTGCATGATAATTTCAGTTAGACATGATATTTGAGTTTGGAATGTCAGTTTGCCCTTTTTTGACAAACTTCGGGGTTTCAACAGCAACGCTGTTATCTTTTTAAATTGTAACAAAATAATGAGCAATTTTAATATATCTTATCTTCATGGAAATACCTTTCCAAGCCTATAGGTTGTGACTTTTGAGTTGACCATTCATACACAATACAATTACACACACGTTGTGCAAACAATGGCTGTTCCTGTAGGCAAGTGGTTGAGGATGGCGTCCATCTTATAAAGTACATATTACTGTACATAGTACGTGTGGTCTAGTCGGGTACAACAGGACATTATGCTCAGCCGAAGACGGAAAATCGTGGAGCTAGCCCACCAAATAATAAAGATGAATGCAGCGACTTGTCAACACGGTAAATTGAATCATCCGTGCGCTTTAATTTCAACCATTAATTACAAGCATTAGCATTCCTAGCGCTATCAACAAATACTTGCCAAACCGGAAGGCCATGTTCGGCTATTTTTGGTTCGGTTTGGCAGTTCGGCTGCAGCATGTCAAACAGCGTCCAATATCATCCACTTAGAAAAGCATCCCAATAGTTAAGATGGTGTCCAACCCCCCTACCTCCCACAACAATTTTTGAATTTGCAATAGCCGGTTGATGGTGACCCCCCCCCCCCCCCCCCTTCAAAGTAGTCTGGCAATGCCCCATTGCATCAGTCTTTGGAAGACATAAATATCAGCATTACATTATTTTGAACAGGTTACTTGACGTACTTAAAACAGTAAATTTAGAGTAAGAATTAATCTCATTGAATTTGTAGAGAGTCAAGCACTCTGCTCATTACAACCAACTGGTACCAACTCAATGTGAATCTGTTTTATATTGGCATGGGTGCAAGTTTATTGGAGCTATCAAGGTCTTTTCAAAACAAACAGACTATTTAAGGGTTTTGAATACACAGAAGCTGATGTAATTGCACAGATTTAAGTTTTCATATGTAACAAATGTAACAGCATTGATAGATTTGCCAGTAATATATAATTGTTTGTATCAAATGTTTTTGTAGTGTCAGACACAAACAGAAATTGTGTCACAGGAAACAAAATCTGGTTATTTTTATTTTAAAAAAAAGTGTGATGTGTTTATTTGCCTAACCAATGAAATTTGTTTGCTTTGCATAGCATCAGAATATAATGAATTTTCTGAAAACTCTGAACTTTGTCGGGTATTTGGGAAAGAATTGCTTTACTGGGCTGTGACTGTTTCACCATAGCAGCTTTCTTTTCTTTTTTTGAAGAAAACCCTGAAATGATCAGATTTTCCTTTAATAAAATGCAAGGAATTTTTCTTCAAAACCTGGAAAATGGATATTTGGAAAAAAAAAACCTGAATTTTAAAATGAATTTTTAATTAAAAAGTTTCATAATGATCCGTAACATACAAGCCTTCATCATTAAAAGAAGGTTATTCTTTTGAATCTTATATCTGATCTGACTCCATGGTGACAATTACATGCACTATCATGCATAAGCATACTTGTCAATGCTATAATTCTTACAGTTCATTAATAAATACCTTGGAGAGTTGATAGCTTCTGATTGGTCGAGAATCGATCATGTGGGGATGCATTAATGGTGATATAAAGACCGGTTTCAAAGAACAAGTGAATAAATGGCCCCTGAAGCAGCATTGATCCAACATCATGTAAGCCAATTCATTGGCCAAAATTTACAACAGTCCTACGACAGCTTGTAACAATACAGACAGTACACATGCGCTCAACCACCATCGTGTGAAAACTTATGCGCGCGTTCGCAACACAGTTGCTATGTGCCGGGTGTGCGCGCGAAGGAAGTTTTCAAATGACATGTTCGCACTGCAGTACTGAGGGTGTTTACGACAAAAGCGTGGATCGATCTGCGATTTATTTTCTGTAAACACTTCGCCCATGGATGTAATTCTGGAGACAAGGAATATGTATACGCTATTTCAGCTTCCTCCATCAGGTAAAATGTGAAAAAAAATTGTTGTTATTTGTTTCTCTACGGCAGCAGAATTTCATACCCTTGAACGCCAGTGGTCGTAATGCAATGAAGACATCGTCCAGCACAGCCTGGGCCCGGCTAGGGTGGTATATAACAACGCATATTGAAGAGACAGGGTACCACGCATAAGCTAAATATGGCCGCTGGACATGAACACATAAAAATCTGGAAATATCGTGGAAAGAAAAGTCACAAAATTGGAGCATTTCAACTGTTTATTTCGTTCAAAAGGTATTTATTAATGGGCTTTGTCCATTAACAGCAGCCATCCCCCAACCCGGTCATTATCACTCAGTGAAGACTGGGTCCTCACACTGTTATTCCCTACATGTGAATCTGACATACAATAATGGAGTGCTGTGTAAAATCTGTATGAAAGCTTATTTTGGGCAGATATTTTGCCTGTTACTTAAATGCATTGAGTCAGTGTTCAAGAAAATGTGTCCATAAGTTGCAGTGATTACTGTTATGTGCAAACTATTTCATTCAATCAATTTGGTGTCATTCCTAAGTCAGTGGATTCTTTACAAATTTCTCAACATGAGTGGGTCAGTTAACTGATCTTTAAGATGTTTACAAGTATAAATTTTAAACTGTAAATTTCAAAAATTGTAAAACTGCACAATTTTCCAGTTGGTAGTTTTGCCTTCACATCAAAAGAAAAGATGGAGCACAGCTGTTTATTTCCCATGTAATTTCTTGACAGCAGGTTTTCAAAATGTAAATGTTAAAAGGCAGCTAAATTCAGTTTGCTGACAAGATGAGAATGATCTGGATATCCTGTAAACACTGTTGTGAGACAATTTGGGTTAATGGCATAAACAGTTTGACTGTTTGCTTATCTTAATATAAAAGAGAAATTTTTGAGTTTTGTTTAATTACAAAAAGCCTTGCTCAATACTAAATTTTGACATTGTTGCAGCAAGAAAAGGCATTGTAGTTTGAGCGTGATTCAGTAAATTGTATTATATATATTTGTATACATAATTGTATTATGTTCTTTCCCATAAACATGCCCCTGTGTACAATAAAGGTATTTAAGAAAGGGAATATTGACATAAAGCATGTTTCATTTCAAATCAGCCCGGCCCAGGTTGCCAGACATAATGACCCTTCCTGCTATAAAAATAAGGCCAATTTCAGAGTCCGTTCAATAAGATTGCATTTTAGGTAACATGGCCATCTAGGACCTTTTTAGCAATAAATTCTGCCCAAAATGTTATTTTTAAGATAACTGCTTTGGGTTTTTTCTTCAAATTTTGTTTTTTAAAAACAACATTGTAAAAATTGCAAACAATTACAAGAAGCTTAAAAAACAACAATGGTTGTCAATTTTTTTATTCCACCAATTGTCCAAAATTAGTAAGGGGATAATAATGTGATGGAGCAGTTATAAGTGTGTGGTTTAAAACCGGTTAGGGGCTGGCCACCAATAATGGCACAAGCCCAAGTCTATTATTTGCAGCCTGGCCCCTAACTGGTTTTAACACCCCTGTGACGTCATTTTGCACAAATGGAGCACGGCATGCCATTCGGCATACTTTTTTCCTGTTGCTGGATGAGGCCACTTATGAATAATTCAGTCATTTCATAGAATCACAGCAAACGAAAGTTTTTGTTCTCCTTTTTTCACTTCAATAAAAACTATCGATGAGGTTGGAAATTTGGACATAGCAGGATTCAACCAGGGATCTTTTAATCTCATTGGCCACCAAGCTACTGTGGCAAGCTCGACAACTGCCGTCGTTTTAAATGCTCTAAATGTAACTAATTGACTAAACAACAACAATGATGTGACGTCATTGTTCTTTTCTCATGAATAAACATTACTTTTACCATTTTAACAAATTCTGCAAATAAACGATGTGGTTGATTTTTTTCCATTTACTTTGACTGGCACAGTTTTATGCTAAACTTTATTTTTAGTATACCTTAAGAGTACAATTTTCTCAACAAAGCCCTTCGTTCAAGCAATCATGAACTCTTGGAGGTATTAGCACGGTTAAGTAGGTTAATACATGTACACTCGGTAGTGCGCCGTTTGGGCCATTCTCACCCACAAACAATATGCTCCTCATGTATTATCCTTTACTTAAACATGTTTATAACTACTCCACACTATTATCCCCATTCATAAATACCTTTTTCCGTCAAAGTCCATGAAAAGTTGACAAAATTCCATTTTTGTCCCTACCATATTGTTCAAATTCATGTTCAGACTACTTCAATGCAATGCATCGCACCCACGGTACATGTGCACAGAATCTCCTTCTATGGAGATCATATCACTGGTTCTCAAGCACCCTGTTGTAGCCGATGCATGTGGCACGTACTGTTAGCATGTTCACAGAGTGCAGGGACTTGTAACCGGTTTTAAACATTGGTGTTAAACTCTGACCAGTGTATAAATGGCGGTTTAGGACTGAACATGTGACGCTTCTCAACCAATAGGAATTGGTAAACTGTATCAGGTATTTTATATTGAATAAAACAAAATATGAAGCTGGGCATCCATATTGAAAAAAAAAACAACTACATCATAAGAGAATCTAGAAAGCTTGCAATAGTTTACTTCCTATTCTATGGCCAGTTGATTATGTCACGTGGTATGTCAAAATCAGGCACATTTGGGCAAGGAGTCAATTTTGGAATATTGCAGATTTTAGTAAAATATAGACCTTGCTCTTTCAAAGTCTGCTGTTTTTATCAATTGCATATTCCAAAGCGAAGCTATTTAATTTTGGAATTGGACTGTTCTAAATGTCACACTAAGTTTGCGTATTTCAGAAGAAAATCTTGAACAAAGTGTCATTGTCTGAAATGAGTTTGTTTTTTTAAAAATACCTTGTCGATGAAATTTCAGTTTGAAGCTTTTACAGAACTTATTAAACATTAGTAGCAATCAAACCTTTTTTTAAATACAAAATCGCTGAAAATCACCCCCTTGCCATTTTGCAGCTGTTTCCCCATTCGCAGCTCTGATCAATTCTGCCTGGTTTTGACATACCCCGTCACATATGTGACCTGTTCTGTCAAAAGCAGACGCTTCTGGGCAGAGGCTGAAATTGAGATAGGGCCAAAAAACGCTGTGGGGGTGATTTTTTTCCAATTTTCTAATTTTTGCATATTTGTAATCCCGAGCATGTCTAAAATATACTATAAAAGTTTGAAACCCTAATTTGATCTCTAATTATAGTATTTTTGAGATTTGTTAAGGTATATCAGTTAAAAAAAATTACTGTTATTGTGACGTTCGTGGCCATTTTCTCCGTTTTCTACTTTTCAACCCAATGAACTTCAAAGTGGCATAACTTTGCGCAGGAATGACCGGTTTCAAAAATTTAACCACCTATTAAAAGGAAATTGAACATATTTTAACAATATCAAAAAATCTCATTTTTGACCTTATGCCCAGCAAAAGTCTGATTTTGACAGAACAGGTCACATATATTTGACAAGTTAGGTCATGACCTGAGCCTCAAGCTACATGTATCTCACTAATTTCAGCATTTCTACAGAAGCACAATTAAACCACATCATGTTATATTACATTCTACATTCTAATACTAACGTAAATTGTCTGCAGAGAGTTGATTTATTAATGGTTTTTTGGGGGGACACCATAACTGGTATTTTAAAGTATTCCCTCAATACAATAAAAAAGCAATGCCGAGAACTATTACCAATTATTAGCTATTTACTAATTATGATACAACTAAATAAATGAAGAAGAAAAAAACCCATAACCTCTTTTCTAAGACTGCACGAAAGTAATCATAGAACTATGCAATACATCATTTCAAAGAAGTTCTGAAAAATACAGCTACTTCTTTTATACCATGCTTTAAATGACTGGGTGGTAGAGGATACTTCCAACAAGATCAATCAGAGGATTGCTGGCATCATTTCTACATTGTTCATTAAAATGCTCGGTGAATGTCTAATAATAATAATAATAATCCTAGTGCTTATATAGCGCTTTCCATCGTTTTCTCAAAGCGCTTTACAATTATTACCCCGTTCATCAGGCCATGAGACCACACGGCAGTCGATATCAGCGCTCAATCCATCTTTGACCCTCACAGCTACCCATTTATTCTCCTGGGTGGAGAGAGGCAATTGTCCTTGGTGTGTCTTACCCAAGGGCACAAACACCATGTTCCTGGCAGGATTTGAACCCATGCACTTTGTGCGTGAGTCGAACACCGTAACCACTATCCAACTATCCATCTAAACAACATTTTTGTTCCAACTATCCAACTAAACAACATTTTTGTTCCAAAATTTGAATGATCTCAACCAATATTGGCACTATTGAAGTGCTTATGGTTATGTTAAAAATGCTTTCCATTTTTCATGCAAGAAATAAAGAGGAAAAAATAATAAATTGTGCAAAAAATGTGAAAATTATAACTAGCTGTTTTGTGCCAATGGCAGTCATATTTGATTGCCAGCATGCATTGTAGTTAGTCACGTGACAATGAATTCCAGTCTTTAGTGGATACTTGATAGGTTCGGGCAAAGAATACATGCCCCCCCGGTTCCGCCGCCCCTGGTGAGAGGAAAATTGATTGAAGAAGTTGGTTTGAGATGATGTATGAAAAGAGACACGTAAAGGTATTTTCTACCAACATGCCAAATGTCATGCTTCTATCATCAAAGGCATAATTCTACCATATTTAGTTCATACGTTTGCAATACTACATGTATGCCAGTGCCAGAAAGGTCCAAGGCAATATCACTGCATATTTCACAAAATCATGTAGGCAATGTATCTATCTCAATCTTTTCTCTCTAGTAAGGAGGGGTGCATGTCTAACAATCGTGCTAGTCAACTACAATTAATATAATATCATATAAGAAATTACAAAACTGACCTGAACAAAAATGAATAAAGTCAACATATTTAAACAAAAAGACTGGTTTTGAACCATAGTAACACAAAATACAATTAGACACCATTGTGTAAAAAAAAGAAAGGATTTTTACATCTTTTAAACACACATACATGTATACAACAAAAGTGTGTACAGACAGTGCTGTAAAATATTTCATCATGTAGCAATAAGTGGCTACATCTTTTTTTTTTTACATTACCGTTATTACAAAGGGTACATGTATTTTGGGAAGTTACTATAAATCCAGTACTGAGCAAGTTCCATAGTTCCTTTGATTTAGTCCTGTGTTTGCCATTCCCACTTGACATAGAAGTTGAACTGCATGGGCACTTTCAAGTTATTGACATAGACATTCTGCAAAGGAAATATAAACAACAATTCTTCTTCATTTTAAGTCTTTAAGAATTCTACTATTAATTATGAAATGGAAAAAAACCAGTCTTATTTTGATTTGGTTTTTGTCCAAGACATTCAGTCATTATTTGTGTGATGGAATCATTAAGTCAAAACATCTGAAAACATTCTGAAATGTAAACCACTGTCCAGTTACAGTGAGTCATGTTAGTACGGTGGCCCACAACTGTCACGGCAAGCGCAACAGCGCCGCGGCAAGCGCAAAAGCGCCGCGGCAAAAGCAAAAGCGCCGCGGCAAAAGAAAAAGCGCCACGGCAAAAGAAAAAGCGCCGCGGCAAAAGAAAAAGCGCCACGGCAAGCGCAAAAGCGCCACGGCAAGCGCAAAAGCGCCACGGGTTTATTGGGAAGGGGCTTAATCATACATGCCGCTACTATACATCAAAAAATAAAATGGGAAGGAGAATGGCCGCCACCAGGAATTCTTATTAATCACAGAATGTAATTCTTTGAGAAGTGATTTTATGGCTGAGAAAATAGCAAGGCCAAGGAAAATCGGTCAGTGCAAGCAACGTTCAGGGAAGAGATTTGAAATTCCCGCTCTCTGGGAATTTCTAACCTAATGGGCCCGCGGGCGAGTTACGTGTTGACAAGCCTTACCCACCCACTACCGCAGCCCTGCAGGAGAGCCTTAATTGACTTCCTAGATGTGTATGATATACTGAAACAGAAAAAAAAATTAACTCATACACTCTGGGCAGCTCACTTGTGTGCCTACACTGGTATACACACCGGTGAACTAAGGCTCAAATTAACGGAACTCTTCTCTGCATGCTAGTCGGAAGGAAAAAAAAACTCTTCAAAAAAATGCATCAGCTCACAGAGCCTCCCGTCCTCGTAATTGTTTTGCATCCCACGAAATGTAAAGAGATGAGGAACGGCCCTGATGGTGCTGATAGTGAGTCCCACTCCTTTATAAACTCTGATTCACGGCAGCAACTCTCTTGGAATAATCTTGGAATTATCCTACAACAAATTAATATCGACGATTTATTTCCTGAACGTTGCTTGCACTGACCGGTTTTCCTTGGCCTTGGTATTTTCTCAGCCATAAAATCACTTCTCAAAGAATTAAATTCTGTGCTTAATAAGAATTCCTGGTGGCGGCCATTCTCCTTCCCATTTTATTTTTTGATGTAGTAGCGGCATGTATGATTACGCTCCTTCCCAATAAACCCGTGGCGCTTTTGCTTTCGCCGTGGCGCTTTTGCGCTTGCCGTGGCGCTTTTGCGCTTGCCGTGGCGCTTTTTGTTTTGCCGTGGCGCTTTTTGTTTTGCCGTGGCGCTTTTTCTTTTGCCGCGGTGCTTTTTGTTTTGCTGCGGCGCTTTTGCGCTTGCCGCGGCGCTGTTGCGCTTGCCGCGGCGCTTTTGCGCTTGCCGCGGCGCTTTTGCTTTTGCCGCGGCGCTTTTGCTTTTGCCGTGACAGTTGTGGGCCACCGTATGTTAGGGCTGTGATTATTATTTCCCAGTGTAGAATTTGAGACTTGTAATTAGCTTGACCTTGATGCTACAAATGCCTGGCTGGAATGCATGTGACTCAATCAAGCTTGTTAAAGAATTCCCTATTCCGTTAACTTGATCGTATGGCAAAGATCTGGCAACAATTGTGTAAAGATCTGGCAACGTACAGTTGTGAATTACTGGAATACAAACACAAGGTGTTTTGAAATGGCAAGTTATTTTTATACAGCATTAACTTTCATAATCAAGTGGTCGATTTCTCACAAATCTAACAGAGCAAACTAATAATTTTGCACAATTTATGATGAACATATTGCAATTTTGTGCTATAGGGAACAATTTACATGTAGTTAACCCGAATAATTATTTCACGAAACCACCCACTTCCATAATGAAACATTTCAAAGTTTATCCCACATTGTCCCATGTATAGTTTGGCAATTTTTTATAAAATAAAATACAATCATTATTATGCTCATTTTCATGACGGTTCTGGAATACAACTTAAAACTTAGTCTAGGGGCTAGACGTTGTTATGGTTTGATAATGCGATAACCCGCGGCCGCGATAACCCACTGCTGCAAGAGGGCTCTATCATGACCAACCAATATCGCCCATGGACCTGTCAGTACCAATGTCTAGGGAGTCTCCTGAAATCTCCCCCCGAAAAATGGTGGAAACTAGTGCGCATGTGTGACTTCTGCAGGCAATTACGGTTCATTTTCAGTCCCACACATACTACACATAACAAAAGAGCTGACCAGTGAAGTTGCTCAAAAGTCTTGCTACATCTTTTATTGCACTGGAAGAAATTTGAGAGTTTGCTTTGGAACTACTATAATATTTGGAATTGCGTGCTACATATATTAGGCCAAACACATGCGCTTGCATTACACAACCAATACAAGATTCCCAAGACATTGGTACTGACAGGTCCATGGGCAATATTGGTTGGTCGTGATAGCGCCCTCTCGAGGCGGCGGGTTATCGTGGCGGCGGGTTATCACATATCAAACCATAACAACGTCTAGCCCTAGACTACTTTAAACTTTGAGTTCCAGAACAATGTTGAACATAATCTCAACATTTGAACATATTGTTTCATTTGGTTTATGGATTTTAAGTGGAAAAAAAGTTCCCTGCAAACATTGTGTTCATTTGATTTACAGAGAGCCCCTAAATGAATGCCTTGGAACTGACGTTATTTCAAGTGAATCTTCAGATATCAGGAATCTGCATGAAGGACATGTACATAGAAAGTGCACAAACAAATAATTTTAATGAGGGGGCCAAGCTCAGAGGCATGGATATTAGTACAAAATATATCAGTATGACATTTACTTCATGGCCCCTTAGGTACATGTAGTTCACTGAGAATTAATATTGTGATATACATGTATGCAACTGAGACTTATACTTACCATTAGCTGTGGTTCATAATCAAATGCAACAGATGTGCCATTGATTGTAACTTGACTGACCGGATGGGGAACGGTAGCTATAATGAATGACTGTACGGTGACAGCATGTGATCCTGAATACCCATCATATGAAACTGTTGAATTCATTGAAGTTTCAGATGATGAAAACTCCAGTAATAGATAGTTGCCATTTTCATACGTGTCTGTAAAGGATGACAATGACGAGTATAATATTAACTTACCAAATTATCAATGTCCTAACTTTCACACAAAAGAATAGTCAAGTACAATATTATTGTATACTATAAAATTGTTTTTATTATTAACACCTTGCCTGCTTCGGTTAGTTTGGTTCCCACACCAAAATATTCTGACATATCATAGGTCAGGTAGCCGCCACGGCTGACAACAGACGTGGCCAAAAAAGGGACCAAATCCTGCTTGTTTCCCCAAATGTCCTAAGTTTACTAAAAGCATTTCGTTGACATGATCGGATAGTGCCCGGGTATTTCTATGTATAAAATACATGTGGTTTGTATTTACCTGTCATGCTTAAATATATAAAAGTTAAAAAATATAAATAATTTCAAAGATTCATTACTTTCATTTTAAAAAGTTGTAATTCAAGTACGACTTTGTGTTTAATTTGATCGGAATATTAAAGGCTCTTAATCATAATGCCTCTGCATGTTAGTTCATAATAGTACTGATGTTTCTAAGCGCTTATACAACAGCATGCAAATGAGCCTGTATTGAATCGTTGGATAAAAAAAGTGGGGATGAAGCAATAAATTTTGCAGCAATGCAGTAAAAATAAATGTGCTCTGCAGGGCAATGATTGGACCGAACCCCCGTACGCGCCGCGCAGTCAACAGGTCACACTGTGGTCATCATTTGCATGTGTATGATATGTCACCTGACTAACGATAATTTGGAACAGCCACACATATTTTGTTTCCTCTGACGCGCATGTGCCTATTTTGCATATATGGGAGTCTTCCTAAAAAGTAAAGAGTACAAACAAAAGAGGGACAATAGGACGTCCACGATCGACGGTGTGAACACGTTTGCATGTGTGCGTCTGTGTGTTCCATTTTGGTTAGGTTCACTGTCACTCTGGTTCAGTCATGTGTGGTTCTGTCATCAATCTCCACCAAACTTGATATGTGCTTATTGCTCATGGTATCATAGTGATTAGACTCAGGCAACAGGTCATGACTTCCAGGGTTACTCTACAGGCCTTGGTCCTTGGTAGCCAATGATGTATGTCAATTTGTTTCTCTAGTGTCGTGAAAGTTATTGTTTTGTAAATAAAAGGCCCCTTTATAGCTTCACAGCTGTGGACGGTGTAGTGATCTGGGGGTGTTCACTTTCACTTAGCCTACCTTCAGAGGCACACACAAGTGACACAACACTGCCCGACTAACACCGCGGCCCACCCATTTCTTTGCTTATCCCTGTTGCTAGTTATGACACATTCCATTTTGGTTAGGTACACTAAAAATTGTCCTAACTAACTGTCTGTACATGTATACAAACTGCCACCATGCCGGGGGATCGAGCAAGTTTTACTTGCAGTATTTTTAGTTTTTCTTTTTGAGTTTTGAGTAGTGTGATATTTAAGTATACGTTTTCCAGTTACTTTAACAGTTGTATCATTTAAATTCCATGGAAATATGCTTTAATGTTGTTCCAAAACTATAAATGTCAGTACAAGCACATCCAAACAATATGACAAATAATTCAACAGATATTAAAGAAGTGTTGTTACTCACAGTATGGTTATTATTATTATTATTATTATTATTATGGTTTATTTATTTGAATTAAAAGCAGCCCACAGGCTGAAAACATTCAAATTTACAACGGGTATTTTAGTTAAAAACTATTTAAAATACAATCAATTCATCTTTAAATTGTAAATTGAAAGGTACAAATCATAACGGGAGAAATTATTCATTATCATTAACAGACTTCTAAAGACTAAAGACTTCTAAAAACTTGCTAAGACAAGACATTGCTGATTAAAACTGGAGTGTAAAACTATTTAAAATTATCATTAAAAAAAGAGAGTGGATCACAGAGGCTATACTAATTATTGACAGGTTACTAAAGACTTGCTAATCTAGACAAAAAATTGCTGATTAAAACTGGAGTGCAAAATTATTTAAAATTATCGTTAAAAAAGATGTGGATCACAGAAGCATATTACACTTATTATTTTAAAATTCTGGCCAGTGATGGGATGGTAGATTTCTTGTACCGCTCAGTGTTACATCTGGGTATGACAAGACCAGAAACGATTGTGGACCTGAGTTTTCTACCTTGCTTGTTATTATTTTCTGGTGGGAGCATATGTCGAAATCTGGTCGAGTACAAAAGTTTGCTTCCAAAGTTGTGCAACAAATCCAATCTTCTGGATTCTAAGTTTTGAATGTCAAGTCTGGCAAGAGCATGGGAATAAGTATTTTATTCACTGCCTAATATGATGCGACAAGCACGCTTCTGGACACGTTCAATAGAATTACTTTGCTCATTACTGATTGATGTGTGCCAAACTTGACTAGCATATTCCAGAATCGGTCTGATGTAGCAAATAAAGATAAGCATGTCATCTACAGCATCTTTAGCCTTCTTAAGGATACACAACGAGAGGCTCTAGAAACAATGTCAGTAATGTGTAAGTTCCACTTCAAATCCTTTTGTATGGTAACACCTAATAATTTCATATGAGACACATTCAAATTGACCAAGTTAATTGAAAATGATTCCCTAGGTATTTCACGTTTCATAAAACTAACTATCATGGATTGACATTTAGAGGATTTAGGCAAAACATCGTTGTTATTACACCAGACAGAGAGATTATCAAGGTGAGTTTGAAGTTTTGGCACTTCGTCATATTTAACAATTTCAGCCAAAGTCAGATCGTCCACATATTTCCATCATCTGCAGCAATCCTCAGACACATCGTTGACAAGTGCAAGAAAAAGAATTGGACCTCATTTTGTTCCCTGAGGGACACCACAGGATATTGACTGGGTTGTGGAGAGATGATGATTGAGCTTTGCATTTTGTGTGCGACCTGAGAGAAAGCTGCAGACTATGGGAACTATTGATCGTCTGACACCAAGATTAACAAGCTTTAGTATCACAATAGTGTGGTTAACACTGTTAGATGTCTTGGTAAAATCAATTGTGCAAAGTCGAGCATAATGACCTAGTTTATCTAGACCCTTGTGAATAAAATTTAACAAGTCAACAAGATAATGTGTGGTGGAGCAGCCTTTCATGTTGCCATACTGTTGCGAGTCTAACTTTGCGGAAATATCCTGTTGGATCCATTTTGCTAAAAAGGATTCAAAAATACGCGCGAACAATGGATTTAGTGAGATAGGGCAAAGCTGATCACGAGATGATATATTCTTTTCTTTGGGGACTGGAACAACCGTAGCAGTTTTTCATTGATCAGGGAAAATACCATCAGCAATGCAAGAATTGAATATATGCGTCAAAGGATCTGCCAGTTCAGTTGCAAATTCTTTGATGAGCCGTACTGGTAGGTCATCAGGGTGGCCAGCCTTCCTTGAATTGAGACTGTTTAGGGCTTTCAGGACTTGGCAACGGTATATTGTTGGAGGCAGTGACTCAGCTAGTAAGTAAGATGGCAGACGTAGAGGATCGAATGCAGGCAACTGGTTACAAATACTGGCAAAATGATTGTTAATTGCTTCAGCCGTTGCAGCTGGATCTACCATAGCACCAGGAATAATGGACGGTTTTGGTTTCAGGTAGCATAGCTTCTGAATTTGATGATGCTACAAACTGGGTTGGTTGGTTTTGAGAGATTCAACTAAAGTTTTGTAGAAGGTTGCCTTTGCTTCATTAATGACGCGCTGGACTTTGTTGCGTAAAGAGCGCCACAATGCCACATCATTGTCTTTGTCAGCATATGCTTTCTGACGTTGTGCGACAATATGCTAGATTGAGCGAGTCGTCCATGGTTTGTCCCTGTTACTGTGCCAATGGGAGACGATGGGAAAGTGGTGACGATATGAAGTTGTAAGCTCATTCAGGAAAAACTCAACTTGATCAGGAGCTGACATCCCATTGAGGACACTGTGCCAATTGTGATCAATTATCCACCTTCCAAAAGTTCTAACAGACGAATCTCTGTAGGGGCGTGAGTTGACTTTATTAGTCTTGAGTCGAGGAAGTTGAGCTACAGGCGTAACAAAGATGCAGCAATGGTCACTAGCTCCAAGAGGGGCTAACCGCTCAATCTTGTCGAATACAGCAGGATAGTTGGTAAAGATTTTATCAAATGTGGCATGCTGACGTGTCGGAAATGATACAAGTTATTCCATTCCTAGATTTTGTTCTATGGCGTCACAATTCAACTGATTAAAATCACCCATAACAGTTATAATGGCTGACATGTCAGTTGTGCGAATAGTATCTATGGTGTGACAGATGTGTTCTAAAATGTTATTTTCATATGTTGAGCCTGGAGGAAAATAAACTGCTCCGATGTACAGGTTGATTGTAAGACGCTTAGAACATTTGAATTCAACCTTCAACCACATGCATTCAAAGTCACAATTGTGAGTACATAATTTGTGTACTTTAAGATGCTGTTTGGCATATACGGCAACACCACCGCCTCTCCGATTGGTACGACATTTGTTGAAGATGGTGTAGTCGGGGATATCAGCCATTAGACTTCCTGACTCGTTGAACCAGGTTTCTGTGATGATGGCAATATCAACATTGTTGTTGTTCAGTGTCACTTCAAGTTCATCAATCTTGTTATTCAGTGATCTGGCATTGGTGAGGAACATACGAGGCAAAAAAGCTGTTCTCATTTCAGATGTTATCTTGTCCGATGGTTGGAGGTTAATAGGAACAAGGTTACGATGTTCAGGTCTGCAAAGATGATCATGTTGGTTATCACGAGCAGTTACTCTGACAGGAATGTGTGCATAATCACTTGCATCAGATGAGATGAGGATCCTTGATGAAAGTACATGTACATTACTGAGGGCATAGCAAAGATGGGGGCACATCTGCATGGATCTTCTCCTGCCTCCTCTGTTTCCACGAAAATGTAGGAGGCCGTTGATCTTCAGAAAGTGTAGAATATGAGGGTGCGCAGAAGCATGAGCTGAGTTTCGAAGGCTGATCATTTGTTGACGGGAGTATTTGATGGTGCGTTCATTGAGGCCGTCTGTTGGCTCGGTGAAGGATTTCCCAGTTTCCCCACACCTGTGAGGACCAGGATTGACTTGAATGTCCATGAAGACCGTTATGTCCATTTGGGGTTGATGTTCTGGTAGAAACAGGCAAGTATAACCATGTTTGTTCCATTTTACCAGAGTTGTTCTTATTTTTATGGAGTTGTGGACATGCTTATTATTGTTCCTTTTTGCCAAGTGCAGTTTTCCCAAACTTGCAAGTGGGACACAGTCAACTTGGAGATGAAGATTGTGGTTTAAATGTTGGGCTGATTAATGCAACTGCACATAATGCACAGAGTTTAAAACTATGATCACGGAGATCAATAAAATCTCATATCTCCAGGTGGCGGCCATGTTGGATGATAATAGCAAATACACCTGTAGCAGTCTTGACAATCATCAAACTTCATCCAGCGATAATAACCAAAAAAAATCCTCAGGAAAACTACTCAGAAAACGATCAGCAGGTAGTTGCCAAGTTGTGCAGTGACAGAGAACAGTGGATGGCAAATATAAAAAGAGATATTTGAAGATTACAAGTTAAAATTTCACCAGTGCTAAAAACTCTTGGCAGCTGTCATGAACAGCGCCCTCTAAAGGTTACCTGTATTATCAGCCCATGATAACTCCCATCAACTGGAGAAGCGTTACTTTTACAATTCTGACCAAATATATGCTTGTCTCTTTAACAATTGTGAAAACACAAAGAGATAATGTACATGTACAAGTGCACAATAAGCTCTGGCCGTGTTGCAAGCACATATGTTCCAATCCCATTGCCCGTGTGGGCATTTAGATTCATGCGACGCGGGGGTAATACTGCAGTGCATATCTAATGTGGGCGCATGGCAACATGAAAAATCACGAGGTGAACAATGACACTTTACCCTCCATATACCCGCCAAATTTAAACTGATAAACTTTAATGAAGTACAATCCTTTTCACCGATGTCGAAATCTCCTCTCTACACCTGAGCAAGATTTTTCAAAACATTAATAGCTTCTGAAAATCATGAGATTCTTGGTGCTAGGATATCCGTAATGTCCGTAGTTTTGCAATCATGTGAAAATTAACAAGTTGGTGAAGTTTTGTCAAAATTTTGAGACTATGTAAAGGTGCGAGGAAGGTGTCTATTGTCATAATTTGGCATTTGTATTTACTCTGATTTTTTCCCCATTTGCTTCAACGTTAAATCCAATTATTGTTTCAAGCCTAATCAGTCGTGTTCGGAAATTTGCATCATGTCCAGAAATTGGGCTGTGTGTCGCGGTGCATGACGATCCCTTCACGTGGGGCACATGAACTGTGATTTTGCATGGCCCCTAATGCTTGAACAAACCTCAGTATAATCCAAAATTTGGAAATTTATTGGAAGACTAATGACATATTTCCCTTTTCTACATATTATTCTCATCATGACACACATTTTGTCTTACCTTTGAGTCCATACAAAATGAGATTTTGAACCAACTTTTACGCACCTTTATAGGTCACCAATCGCTTCACACAAAAATGCAAGTAGTAAACACGTTGTACAGCCGGGTACTTCATGCCATCCATTCTTTCCATCTTTGTTTGTTACTTTATATCTCAGGAAAACTTCAGTTTTTGTTTAATATTAATTTATTGAATGCTTGTAATTAATATTTACTTCATACTGATTTGCAATGAGCTCAAAAAATGCAAAGAAAATCACTATTTTCAAAACAATTTTGAAATATCAACAGTTAAAACTGGTAGTGCAAGAGTTCATTGTGACCTGGGGTTAATATGGATTATTCATTAGAAGCTCAACAGAAGAACCAGTAGACCATTTTCATGCTTCCACCATTTTAGTCATGTTCCCTGTATCCAATAAAAGTACTGAATGATAATGTTTTTGTGCAAAAAGGAACCAAACTATTTTTCCTTCCAGCCTCGCTTTGGTTACATTGATCTGAATGGGAAAAATCAAATGGCTGCAACATGATAATGGTCTATAGGATGAATGAGGGTCACATGTTTTTGCGTGTTGTATTAGATCATGACTATGTACATAAGCACTCATTTCATGTATGCGCAAAAACTAAATGTCTCTTTGGAATGTACGTGCAAGAAGTCTTGAATGAAATCGATCAAAATGATACCTCTCGGAGCTTAAAAATGCGAGGCCGAAAAATGCGAAGCTGATGGCACATATGGAACACCATACTATTGGTCAATTATCGGGGACAGACAGACAGACAGACAGACAGACAGACAGACAGACAGACAGACCGAACGACCACCAAGTGACATGTAGAAGCTCCTGCGAGAGCTTAAAGAAGGAAGTTCAGGAAAGACTTCAACTTGTGGGGTTCATTTGCCCTGTTTGCAATGGAACAGCCCATCAACTTACATCATCAAGTGATTAGCGGTCAGCAATCATGCATGCACGGAACCGTTACTGTTTGCCATGTTTTCTTTTTGACAGGGATGTTACACATCATGAATTGACTATGAATTGAACACTTAAAAAACTCACCCAGAGAGTCTCCATCATCCCAGAAGAGATGGCCACTACCAGGCCCATTAATACTTCGAGTAATTAGTAGGGTGAAACCAAGCTGGCGATATTCTGTGGTGGTTGTGTAACCTTCTTTATAGGGCAATTGCAAGGGAACGATGCATCCTTCACGCACATGAGCATTGATCTCATTGAGGGGTGCTGGTAAAGTTACTGCCTGAGTGCTGTTCACCTGGAAGTGAGTACCCTTTAAAAAAAAAATGTAAATAATTAGACCTCACTGGGTTTGGGGCTTTGTCATGATCACACGATGCCTATAGTTTGTAATAAGTGAAGGAATTTGACACAGGATGGGACAGCTAACTCGTGTATAGAAAATCCCAAGAGGATTATGGCAGAATAAGGCCCCAAAAAAAAAAATTCGGTCTCTGGTCAGAACAAAGTTCTGGAATTGATACGGCGGTGCGGCTTTTTTTTTTTTTTTTTTGCTTTTTTTTTTTCTCTTCAAGCTTGGATTGTACAGACAAGGTGAGGTACTATTTTGCTTTTTTGGTGTCCTCACATACATTGGTGTCCTCCATAATTTGCCTTGGTGCTGTCGATCATTTGCCTTGGTGCAATTTCCCATTCCTTGGTGCTCTTTGGTAAAAAAATTGAGGAGGTGCTGCAATAGAGGGCGCTGTTGGAGCTACCGCGGAACATTTTGGAAAAAAAAAGATTGACGCGCATGATTAAAATCGACGCGCGCGCTGACCAGAGACCAACTTATTTTTTTTTTTGGCTTAAGAGAAAGATAAGAAATTTTATTTAAACACTTTTTGTGTTTAATTCCACCCTCTCAGTGGCGTAAGCAACGTCATTTTTGTTGGGGGGTAAAACAGTTTGTGAAAAGGGCACTCGCAAATCCGTGCTGCAATGTACACAAGGATTTTTCCCTCCAGCACTTGACCTCCATAAAACTGGACAATCATAGACACTATCGGACAATAGGTGGTGCTTTTCAGGACAGCATGGTCGCGCGAAATTCCAAAATGGGCACACATAAAAGGTAAATATTGGGGGGGGGGGTTAAACACTGGTGAAAAATGGGCACTTGTGTACTAAAGGGCAGTCTTTAGAAACTATTTGGGACCCCCCCCCTCCCGTTTTGGCTAAACAACTGCCTCAGATGCAATGGAAGTTTGCTTACATGGTTAACACCAAACCATATTCCTTTAGGAAATATTCCAGTGACATTAGTTGATCCTTCTTCAAGAACGGGAGTGACAACTAAGGATGAGCCCAACATGAATTGCCTGTCCACATCATACAACTTTGGATCACCTGGGAATCTAAAAATAAAAGCAAAGACATATGCTTGATCAATTGCAAGATAGATTAAGTGTGATGTATGCATAAATATATCAATACATTAATAACTCAGAAAAAGAGTAGCGAGGTTGGAGGTGAAATATTGGTGGAGACCAAAAGGGTGAAACTCACTGACACACTATACACAATGTATATGTAGTTCAATGAACAAAAGGCTTTGAACTTGTTTTGCTTATTACTGGGCATTCACATGCCAAATCTTGGCATTTCATGATGCACATGGTCTGTATAACAGGATAGGTCACTCAAAAACACTCAATTACCATCACAATACTATTGCTTGAGGCTCTACCCATTGAACTTGAACAGCAATGAAACCACCGACAATTTTAGGTACACAAATGGACTATGCCGCTACAGAATCATCCGATTATCCACTGGATCATGAGCAGATGAGGCTACCTGTACCCAACCAGCCATGTGCTAGCGAGCGGTACGTTGGTACCGTTACATCATGTGCAGCTGTACTGTAGTAATACATGCACGGTTCACACACTGTATTACTGTGTGGCGCATGATTTTTTCCATGTCACAGGTCAATGTTTAACCTATTATCCAGCCGGAAAAGGCTGCGACCAGTGTTGGCCTAATGTGAGAAAATCATTCAAAACTCAATTTTTGTGGGACGAGTCGTAAACAAATCGGAACTTTTGTTGGAAAAGTCAAAAAGTCAAATTACCGATTAAAATCGGGAAAGTTTCATCTATGAGTTGTGGTCACAGCTGCTTTATCACTCACTCTGAGTCAAAGCAAGTTACTTAAACAGTCCCAGCCAGTCAATCCTGCTTTATGTAGGCTGGGAATTCTTAACTGTTGAAAACAGTCACTTGATTGAATTTGACTGAAGGACTGCTTGGCAGTCCTTCAGTATGTTTCAGTATGTCATGTATGTTTGCATAGGAGGGTTAATAGAAACTATTGAAACAATGTTGAAATAATAACTTGTTCCGGTAAAGAATTGTCATGTCACTGTACATGTATTTTGCATTTAAATGAAAGTAAGGTCAATAAATGTCATACACCTGAGACAGGTTGAAGTGAGCTTAAGAGATATGAAGCATTCAGGCGCGGATCTAGAGAGGGGGTTTTGGGGGTCGTTATAAGTAACAATGTGCTACATTATCTATATGCCCGCCTGTCCGCAACAATTGGATACAAGAAAATCTGTCGGGCCTGAAAACCCCCCCCCCCCCCTTGCAAAAATTCCTGGATCCGTCCTTGACTATTATACACACAAATCAAACACACACTTACTCAAAGAATAAGGGTCTAGCCACAGTGGAGCCTTTGCTATGTGCAAAGTGGAATAGGGTGTAGATATATGGCAGGAGACTATAGCGTATCTGCAGAGCATTCCTACTGGAAATCTGCATGTCCACACTAAATGCAGTAGGATCCTGATCCTGTATAGATACAAGTTGGATTAACCACATACAACTGTATATGAACAGAGGTTTAATTAATCCCTGCTACTATCAAACAATTTCAATTGGTGCAAAATGTGCTAACATTTTGTGCACAACCAATAGAAAATCAAGTATGAACTGGCCACTCAATATATTGCCAATTCTATCAGCTATAGGATTGTAGTAGTAGGCCTACATATATTTGTCTGCTGTATCTTAGATACAGGCAATATATCCTACAGCCTGCCTTGTAGTTTATGGATTATAAACAAATATGATCAGTGACAATCAGATCAATGACTTTGTGGTTGGGATGAACAGATTTGTAGCTCAGAAATTCTTATCACACCTTAGCTCCAATTGTGTTGTGATTTCGTGAAAAAGGATAGAAAGCCCCAAGCTGCATCCATCGCTGGCAAAGTTCTTCTGTAGTATTAAGATTGAAGCCACAGATATCAGCTCCCACCAGTGGTATTCCAAACAAATTGAAGGATAAAATGCCTGATGGAAAAAACAAACAAACACAGATGATCAATTCATATTAAGCTTGTCATGTATAATAGCATGACATACATGTTGTTACATACATGTACTTAAAGGTACTATACAACATTTGCTTATGCTGTAATGTTCATAAATATATGGATTTGGGGGTTAGCCTTGTATATTCATATACCTCAGACAATTTATCCAATCCCACTGGTCGAGAGCCTGTCATGTGGGTGGTTTTAAATAAGGGAATAAATGTGTGCTCCGGAGTTTTTTATCACTCTGTTTAAGACCGCTTAGAATCTGGGTGCTGATCGAGGGTAATTATCAGCACCCAGACTCTAAGCGGTCTTAAACAGAGTGATAAATACCGACCGAGCACACTTTTATTCCCATTCATAAATACCTTTTCGGTAAAAAAAAATCAAATAATTCGTTCAAAAAATCCCGGTTTTGTTCAACAAGTTCACTTCATGCTTTTTGAAACATCCCTCTAGCAAAATAATGGAGTGTTCAGCTGGCGAGTAAGATGTAAACAACCCTTTTTGGAGATTGACGCGCGCGTAGCATGTTTGGAGATTGACGCGCGCGTAGCATGTTCTGCGCAATGTCACGCATAACGCACCTGGGGCGTTGCGTTTTGAATTTAGAACTATAAAATTCTGACTCGCTGGTAGTGTTGCGCATGCCTACGTGAGGATTGTGAACGTTCAACCAATGAAATGGTAAGAGGCACTGGATTTTTAGGAGTCCACATTTTATGTGACACTGGAAAAGTGTTTAAGACCAGCTAGCCATGTCTTTATCATCCGTTTAAGACCAGCCACGTGACGGGCTCTCGACCAATAGGAATAGCTAAACTGTCTGAGGTATTTATGAATGGTTGATAAAACCCCCACTGGTTTTAAACATTTTTTTCCAGCACCTTTGCATTCTGCGCCATATTGCGTAGTACGGGTAACGCGCGCCAATCTCCATATCAATCTCTTTCTTTTTACAGGACCCTTAATATTCACAGGGCCCATCCATATAAAACAAAACATCAAATAATAGATGGTATATAATTTCTCACCTGCAATAGAATAAGCCATGTCTGGCCAAAGGCTGTAGTTATCTCCCAGCCAATGACCTGTATGCTTGCCACTTCCAGGAAATGTTGATCTTGAGATCACAAAAGCTCTTTTATTACGTACTTTAACCAGGGCCCTGAGAAGATCAAAGTGGGAGTTAATAATATACAAATATTGAATGCTTCGAGTGGTGTAGTAAAACTAGCCTCCCTAGGTGATCCATGGACCATTCTATTTTCCCGAGGCGAAGCCGAGGGAAATAGAATGGTCCATGGATCACCGAGGGAGGCTAGTTTTACTTCACCACGAGATAAAGCATTCAATATTTGTTTTATAACACTTCACCCACATATTCTGCTTGATTTTAATATTTTACATTATTTAAATCTGAACACAGTTGAAATAAACTTCAATTTCAATACAAAATTGGTGGAAAATGTATTTCTCTCTTAAAAACTAACCCTTCACGAAATGTTTGAACCCAAGTCTGTGGCGCGCTCTCTTTGGAATAATACGCGCTACGCACAACACGCAACTCGCACACCAGCATGCATTTGCACACAAATACCGCGTCGTGGAAATAGTACTTTGGTTGCTAATGGTATAGTACTTTGGTTGCTATGCGCATAGTACTTTTGGCCGTGCACAGAAAGATAGCAAAATTAGAAAGTAACATGCGACTCGCTCTCGGCCAATCAAGACACAGAATCTGTGGGTGAGGTGTTATAATTGTTGACAGCTGTGATGTGGGAGATAGACATACCTAGTACCTGAGAGAGAGTGATCGGTGCTATGTCTCCCTTGGGAGACAACATATAAAAATGATATTTATTACATATAATGAAATTCAATTTCACAACTAACACGAAATGCTCTTTCACATGCTGCAATATCCATAAATGTAGTTCCTTGAAAATGTCTTATTTGTTAAAAAAAAAGTTTGCACTCAGGTTCTAATACATGTACTCTCTGAATTACCATATGACCATTACCCCCCAAGAAATAAATATCCACAAAATGTGTTGTTATACCATGGTATTAGATTGTGAAATTTTATTGGTTGAGAACTGGTCACATGAGGTACCTTATGGACATCACCTCATGTTCATCGTTCTCAAAGATTTTTGACATTTGAGTCCCTGCTACTTTGTACAGCAGCTCGAATAGACCCTGGGAACAAGGTAGGTGATGTTCACCAGGGTGTGGGTATGTCAACGCAGACTCCTTTCATTCATCGGTTCCATTGCCATGAAAACTTGCTGATATCGCGCCATTGCTGAAATCTTCCCCTCCACGTACCACTTTGCCAAGATTGCTTAACATTATTATAACAAAGGAAGTCATGCTTTCGTTACAGATAAGGATAGATCTTGCTCAACATGGAAATTTATTGTGCATGCCAACTGCACATTCTCCATGAAAATGCGGACACATGCGGTACAGCCTCAACGATTTCTCTTAACAGACTTCTCTAAAGCATTTGACTGCATCGATCGCATGATTGCAATATCAAAGTTGCTTGAACTGGAATTAAACCCCCGTCTAGTATCGTGGATTGCCAACTTTCTAACAGATCACAAAGGGCGAAGTACAAAGAAGTGAAGTCAGCTTGCACACAACAACCGGAGCTCGCCAGTATACGAAATTTGGTCCCATCATCTTCCTTTCCTTCATAAATGATGTATTGAAAAGTGTAGGCCTACAGGAGAATCAAAGTTGTCGGATTCCCTTAGTTTACTTGCGGAATGGTTGGAATGGTTGTCTACGAACAAAATGCGCCTGAACCTTAACAAGTGTGTAACAATGGATGTATCCTTCGCAAAAAAGCTTACGTCCAAAATGTTTTTGAGTTAGATGAAGTCGCTATCCAGCAATCCAACACTGTTAAGTTGCTCGGGATCTTCTTACAGTCAGACCTAAAATAGCATGCGCATGTCACATTTATGATTAAACACGCCAACAGTCATCTGTTCCCATTACGGTCTTTAAAACACTATAAACTTTTGATGAGAGATCTCATCACGCAGAGTATGCTGCTGCTGTCTGGTTTGGAGGCCTAACAAAGGAACAAAGTGTGAGTCTAGAGTGTATAGAGAAGCAAGCATGTAGAAGTTTACTGCACAAAAATTATGGGCAGTACTCAACATGTAGAAGTTTACTGCGCAAAAATTATGGACAGTACTCACAAACACTTGAAGACTGTCAGCTTACCGTTTGGAAAGTAGACGTGTTCACCTGTGCTTGTCATTTGTGAAATCCATACATTTGAATATGTTTGTTTTGCTTCTTTTTGTTATTTTGTGTGTGCTTGTACCTGTCTGTCTGTTTGTCGTCCTTTGCTTGTTTCTGTGTCTAATCAAACGGTACTGTTGTAGTTGGAGAGCCTCTCGAAAAGTTTAAATAGCTTTTTAGGCAATCCCTCAGGCCTGCATATGGTACAATTTAATGTTTAATATTTTTCAATGTTTTTGTTTGATAGTTTCTTGAATCTTAAATTTTTTGTAGTTTGTCCTTTTGATCTTCATTGTCGGTAAAATTGAAGAAAAGGCTCGAAGTTACCCAAAATAAATTAGTCTGGTTTATTTTAAACATGGATTCTAAATCACATATTGGTCAAACAGAATTGAACCAGCTGGGCATGATGATCGTCAATGACCATGTTACACAACTCAAGCTGAATCATGTTTATAAAATTTTTCATGAATTGGCACCAGACTACCTCTGTCATAAATTTAGGAAGGTTTCAGATATATGCATAATTATTCCACCACGGGTAGTTCCACCACTTTTGTTGTTCCAAAAATAAAAGGGCCAGTGTGCAATACATTTGTATACCGGCATTCATGAATGGAATTTACTTCTCAACAGCATCAAATGTTCCAACAATCATCCTCAATTTAAAAGGGCAGTGAAAGAACATCTCTCTTCTCAGTCAATTTTTTAAATAGCCAAGTTTTTAATTATCAGTCTTTTCCTGTGTAATTTGAATGAACTTTTATTATTGTACTTGCAGGCTATGTTTTTGTTTTGTGTGTGTGTGTTTTTAAGGATCCCAATGGAAATAAGCCGTCTTAAAAACAGCTTTATGGGTTATCCCTTGGCTTTGTATTTACATGTAATAAGTTCATCTTTTTATGCACCACTGTATGTTTGTTTGTATAAGCCAAAATAAATAAATAAATAAATAAATAAATAAATAAATAAATAAACTGTCCTATATTTTTATATTGTAATTGTCTTGTTTATTACCTGGGAAATTATCTAATAAATAAAATAATAAATAAATAACATAACCCATCTTCAAAGCTCCATCATTTTCTACCTCCTGAGAGACCGAGAGTCCACCAAACGCGAAGTACCGCAACCCAGACTGAATATCGTTGAAGGACAGAAGATTCAGAAATATCCCTCTTTCTCTTTTGTTGTATCCTTCTTAATCATATAGGCAACCTACTTATTGTAAACTCTTACATTTTGTGTAGTTTCCCTCTACATATATAAAATATCACCCTTTCCTGTATTTAATTTCTCAATTCTCTTTATAAAGAAATATATATTGTTATATGAGTGACGTGTATAAACTGTTCGTTTTTTAAATGTTGTGAATTGTGTAATTTTCATCTTTTGAAATGTTTGTGTAAAGTCATGTAATTCAGCCAGTTAGGCAGCGATGCTGATTCTGATTAATACAAACCATTATCAATTCACTTCAAACGTATAATGTTTCAATGAGTTTAATATGAAACATGACGGACAAACATTAACTTATTATAAAAAGACTCTTTGCTTGTCCCTGAGAGGTCAGCCTATAGACTTCTTTGTACCTGACCAACCGACCGACCAACCAACCGACCGACCGACCAACCAACCGACCGACCGACCAACCCCAACTATCACCAGTGAATAAGACTTGCATAAGTCTCACCTTAACCTACAAGTTTGAAACAGGTTTACCCAATGACAGCAATGAATGGGCTAAATCCGGCCCATTGTGTATGCCACATGCATGAAAGGACTTGTTTGCATTCATAAATACATGGGCCATTTTACCCATTCCTATTAGTTGTGGGCCTGTCACATGGGTGGTTTTAAACCACAATTCTTCAATAAAAATATGGTTCACCCAAGCTAGGTAGAGGGATGTTTCACAGAACATCAATTAAAAGTGTTGGAAAGGGATCATTGGAAATTTATAATTTAAACAGGAGCCCACAATGCCGAATGCGCTGAACGGGGAGTGCCTCAGCAAGAATATCATGTACCAGGCCACCGTCACGAGCGAAGGCAGGAAGGAGGCATACGTCAGGCTAACATCCACAACCTTCAAGGCAAGACTGGCAAACCACAAGCAGTCATTCAGATCCGAGAGCAAGAGGGCGCAAACAGAGCTAAGTAAACATATATGGGGCTTAAAGGACGAGGGGAAAGGCTATGAAATCAAATGGGACATTGTTCAGAAAGCACTGCCATACTCTAATGTAAACAAGAGATGTAATTTGTATACATATAGCAGAGAAGTACAAAATCATATGCAGGCAAGATTTAGGTACACTAAATAAGAAAAGCGAAATCGTCTCTAATTGCAGGCATCGAGACAGGTGTGTTCTTAGTTCAGTGATGTAAACACGTACTAACTTCAATGGTGTAACGTGCGTAACGTGTACGCACGCTTGATTCGAAATGAGGGGAGATGCTACTTGTATTATATATTCTCTCATTCTGCTGATGAGTGCCTTATGGTATGAAACAGTCTGTCCAGAAGAAAAATATGCCAAAGTTTGATTAACTCATATCCTGAATTTTTTGCATAATATATATTCATGTGTGTATCAAAAGTCTCAAATCAAAAATTTCACAGGAGGAGGGCTCCCCATAATAAAAAATAATTAAATATATTTATTATAATAAATATACATTATCCACATCCAAACCCCAATCACATCAAGTGAACTCAAAGTTGACCCATTCAGCCAAGTTGAATACAAGAAAGCAAAGACAGCTTTGGTAGAAGGAAAGAGCTGTGGCGAAGACAACATTCCACCTGAAGTCTTAAAGACGTGCGGGCTGGACAACACTATTCATGGATTCTGCTTCATTGACAGGAAGCATGCTCGACCAGTGGTCTGTTTTAAACATAGTCCCTATACCAAAGTCAGGTGATCTCAGCCACGGAGGGAACTATAGAGGTATCAGTTTGAGCTCTGTAGTGGTAAAAACCTTCAACGGGATGATTCTCAACAGAATAATACCTGCAGTTGACATCCATCTGAGAAACAACCAGAATGGCTTCAGGGTTGGAAGAACTGCCATGGGACATATACTTGCCCTTCGACCGATCATAGAAGGAGTAAGAACCAATAATCTGAGTGCAGTAATAACATTCATAGATTTCAAAAAGGCCTTTGACACCATCCACTGAGACAAAATGTTACAGATTCTCAGTGCCTACGGAATCCCTAGTCAACTTGTAATAATAATAATAATGGCGTCTTGTATAGCGCTCATGTCCGTCACAAAGTGATGCTCCTGGCGCTCTTATTATTACCCTGGCTTTAGCAAATAGAAGCCATTGGACTAACATTGGACATTGTAAAAGCCATTGGACTGACATATAAGAACACCAAGGTAAAGGTTATCTCACCAGATGGCGGAACAGAACCAACTGACATCCTAGCTGGCGTCCTGCAGGGAGATACTCTGGCACCCTATTTGTTTGCAATTGTGTTGGACTATGCCTTGAGAATGGCAATAGACGGCAAGGAAGAAGCATTGGGATTCCACCTGGTAAAGAGGTGCAGCAGACAAATTGGGCCAGAAGTAGTAACTGACTTGGACTTTGCAGACAACATAGTTCTCTTGTCTACTTTAAAGGGTGGAAACATCCATGGGAAAAGTTGGTCTGAAAATGAACGCCAGAAAAACAAAATTCAAGACCTGCAACCATGAGCAACCAATCACCATCAAGACAAACAACAGTAAAAGGGAGAGCAAGTCGAAGACTTCAAATATCTAGTGTCATGGGTGGCTAGCACCGGAAAAGATGTCAAAGTTAGGAAAGCTGCAGCTTGGAGAGCTACCCGGTAGTAACAGCCTTGGTACAATCTGGAAGTCAGCTCTCCATAAGAAAATCAAGCTGCGGGTCTTCAGTGCAACAGTGGAATCGTGCTGACATACGGCTGTTAAGCTTTGAACAGTCACTTCCAACATCGCTGAAGAGCTTATTATTATTATTATTATTTATTCGACCATCACAAAAACAAAACAAAACAAAATTGAGTAAAACGAGCATAAAACAACAAACAACAAGTACAGTAAGACGGTAGCGGGGACCTGGGACGAAAATCTGAATACATGACGAGACAAATGACAGTTATGTGGGTCAGGGACCGCAAAAGTAAAATGAACTACTATTACCCGCAGGTATGCAGCCCCGCACATAACGTTGAAAAGACAGATTACAAGCACAGAAAACAACGGCCCCCGCAGGGGTGATCAAAATGACAGCCAAAAAAAAGAGAGCAATGGGTTGACTTAAGTTACCGATAAGAATGCCTGCTTGAGGGCCCTAAGGAATCGAGGAAGGGAGTCGACAACAGCTGAGTCTTTGACATGAGGCGGTAAAGAATTCCATATTCTAGGGAAACTGCGGGTGGGGGAATGAAACAAAGCTTGTGTGCGTGAATGAAGATGGCGGAATGTAAGCACATCTGGGTGGCGTGGGTTGATTAGGATGTTGTTACTGATGGTCTCACATTGGCATAAACCGTGTAAACATTTAAACACAAAGGAGCATAGTAGGTATTGTCTTCTGGACGATAAGGAGAACCAGTTAAGCCGGTCAAGCCTGTCCTCATATGTCATCTGACCTCGCCGTTGTTTTAGGGCAATTCGGGTTGCTGAACGTTGCACACGCTCAATCTGTTGTTCTTGTGATAGATGGATGCTACACCAGTATGCTCAAGAAGGCGCTCAACATCCACTAGAAACAGCACATCACAAACAAGGAACTGTATGGAGACCTTCCAAAACTCACTGACAGAATTCGCAAAAGAAGAACACGCTTCGCTGGTCACTGCTACAAGAGCAAGAACAAACTCGTAGCAAAGCTGATAGTTTGGACACCGAAACACATTTTTTACAAGCAAAAACATACTGAAACAGGACACAGGGCTTAAAGCATCTGATCTGGGGACTGCCATGCAGGACAGAAGATACTGGTGCACTGTCGTGAGTCGGGAAGACTACCCGAAATAAAGCAAGTAAGCAAACCCCAAGCTGGTTTTTAATGTTTGTGTTTAAAACCAGCCAAACACATGTTTATTCCTTATTTAAATCCAACTGAGAAGTGTTTAAAACTGACCAGTAATAAATGAGGCTCCTGAATCAGGACGAAAAATGTATGCTTTCGTCTTTGTATTTTATTATTAACTTAAAGAGCATAACTAATCTCTAGAGTTGGAAGGGTTTGAAGTTTGAGAAAATTTGATATATATGATAAAGAAAGTTATCTTAAAACTTTTTTTCATTGAAAAATGTTTGTTTTTTTTGACAGAGAAAAACAAAGTATGTCTTTAAGAACGAGTCTGCTCACTGGCACATGTATCATATTTCATGCATGTTCATTGTAACAACTAGCGCTGCATGCACACACTCATGTCCCGTGCACATATGCACCATCATGCATGCACACACATGGCTGACCTCATGGGCTACTCCATACCACACATACATGTACCATCTACCTTGTAGGTTATATCATGGAGGATGGTTATATGGACTCCATTCACAAACTTGTCCCCCTCAACAATTATAAAAAGAGAGATCACCTGACCAACCTAAAAAATCTGGAAATCTCCAGACGGCATTTTGTTGTTGTTGTTGTTGTTGTTGAAATGCCGTAGTTTTGCATTTCATTAAAAAAAACATACGTACATACCTAACTGGTAGTACAGTTCAAATTTACCGTGTTTTGATGGATGGTGTAATGGAGGTTGAGACTTGGAGCATGTGGTGTATCTACTTACTGTACACATCGTATCTTCAATGTGTACATGCACTGTACAGTCATATCACATTGGCGTGTGCAGTAGTACATGTTGATCATGTATATGTAGCCTAAACAAACATTTCGTGTACATGTACATTGGTAGAGGGGAACTAATAACCGAATGGAATCCTTGACAAAATATTGATCAAAGTTACCGCATAAGCTTCAAGAAAATAGGACACATTGAATAGAAAATTTTAAAAATTAATTTTTAAACAAAAATATAACTCATCAACAACGAAAATCAATCTTCTAAAGAAATCACTTTTGAAAAATATGGTTTGCTGGTACCCACTATTCACTTTGTTCACTTGGCCAGACGGCACGTTGTATGGATGACTACGCGGTGTTTGTCCAGTCCATGAGGCGATGTTGGGAACAAAACAACATTTCAGTTGCATCGCAAAGATATCTTTGAAATGGCAACCCGAGGTTGTTTTGTCGGATATTTTTGTCTCACGGTTGCATCAAGGGCACTTACAAACTGTTTTTCTGGAACCTATCACTGTGTTGCGTGACCTTTGTTTTTGCTTCCTTCTGTTGACATTTTCATGTGAGGGCAACAAAACATTTGTGGGGGGGGGGGGGGCCTTAGGGAGAGACCAAATGTATACAAGCAGTGCCTGACGCTCATGCAAAGAAATAATGGGTTTGTGCACATTCAAAATAAAATTAGTCGTGCATACTTTGCAGCTACGTGTGCAGCCCAGTATTCCCACTTCCCACCAATCCGACGTTTACAACTGTTCCATAACAATTCACAAATAAGAGGTGTTCAGGACACATGTAATTGGTACAATTGAATCATACACGGATAGAATGCATTTCTCATCATCATGAAAACTATCTTTTTATGAACATCATCTTGTTACAATCACCAACTGCTATATATACGATACATTATTCACAATGCAGACCTGTGACAAGTCAGAGGTAACCCTGTATAGCATAACTATCAACTTACTCATTTGTCCCAATAGCTTCAGAATATCCATACAGACTGTGAAGATCATAATGTTTACCAATGGACTGGATAGCTGAAGCACAGACAGTCATTGCATCAAGACTGCCACCAAGAATAGCTGATAATGCAAAAGAAATTACAGCATAATGTCAACATTTCATGTTTGATAAACGTCTGAGTATCCTCAAAAAGGGACACACTTAAAATGCTATATTAAAAAAATATTTGTGGAAGAGTAAAATAATGGTTCAGGAAGATGAGTTGAGATTAGTCAAGATAAGTTTGGCTTCAAAATGTGATTACAGCAAAATAAAAACAAATTTACACTGATTAAATCTAGAATTCTGACATTATATTTCAGTAAAGAGGATTACGTAATGATTTACTAGAAGAAACCAAATCATATCAACCAAAAATGGAATTTAGTAAAAAATTTGAGCGGCTTGATATTTCAGCATTAGCAAGCCCTTTTTCAGAGGCAAATGGCAGAGTAACAAGAAACAAACATGAAGAGGACACACAAAGCACCAGGGTTGGGTGAAACACAAAGGAGGGAGGGGGGGGGGGGCGCAGGACAGACCAGTTGGGGTGAAGATCAGAGGGGATAAGGGAACAAAGGAGTAGGTGCTAGGAACAGGAGGGGTAAGAAGGCAGGAGCGATACAGGGGGAACAAAGCAGCGAAGTAATGAATGTGGTATTAGTGACAATGGGGGAAAGAGGGGGTGATAATAACATTACACATTTATTACCAGTCACTCGATGACGTCATTATGACGTCATTTCGAATTTTGCATACTAGTAACATTATCTACCTACCCACCAAGTTTCATGGCGATCGGACCTACCCATATATGCATTTTTTTTATCGCATTTTTGATGACATCATAATAACATCACAAAAAGAATTTCAAATTTAGCATGTTGTGTTCGTGAGATATGGTGATAATCACAATGACATCATCATGATGTCATTTCAATTTTCATCTATAACAAATCCCTTTCTAAGTGCCTAAGATGACCAGTAGGGGATTCAAATCATTTGCCTGGCTATCAGTCATCATGGCAAGACCTCAGTTTAATGCTCAAGGGCAAATGATTCCAATCCCCAATCACAGCCCTTTTTCAAACCATGAAGGATTTTACAGAGCTTACGTAAAAAAGCACTGAACTTGATTAAGGCAAGGAACTTGGTCACAGTATCCCCCCCAAAAAAGGTGTTGTGATTAATTGACCATTGTGCAGTGAGGCTTGAGGGCAATAATTATCACTCACAATGGTTTATGCCAATGATTAGGAGTATCTCCAGAATTAAAATATTCATAATTGACTTCGTGTTTTTGATGTTATTTGAAAAAAAAATTTTCAAATGAACCACAAAGGGAAACTGACTAGGTGAATTATTAACAATTGAAAAGTTGAACAAATGTATTGACTGGAACAGGGCCTTGAACCTGCAACCTTCGGATAACCGTTCCGGTGCTCTTACCAACTGAGCTATCCAGCCCTATGTTGGCGGTTCCCCAATTAGTCAACATCTTTGTTCAAAGGGCGCTAGTTAGAAGCTGTATCATCTCTGAGTGATCCCAGTTTGCTAATTCCCAGGTCTGTATCGTGACTTTGGGCGTTATCCTGCCTGGCTGTATTGGCATATACAGGTTTATGGCTCCTGACGTGACCCAGGTTTGGGTGGCTTTGATTCAATAAAGCATGGGCAGTTCAAAGGCTTTCCTGGCATAACGAAGATTCTTGAGAAGCCTAGTTTTCAAGTTTTTCTTTGAGGTTTCCTTATTTATTTCGAGTTTCCGTGGTTTTCATTGAAAAGACATTGAACATATGCTACTAAAACTGTGAAAATGTATTGAAAAACTGCTTCATTTTTTTCCGTTCATTTTCATCATATTATGGTCGTTATCATCTTGATCCTGATAGATTTTGGGACAACTTATTTTCAGCCTTTACTGAACAGCGATTAAATAAATAGGGAAATGTATATGCACCAATCAAAGTTGATCTTTTCTGATACAACTGATAAAAATGCATTTAAAAAATTATGAGTACCATAATCATGCGTGAAAACTTATTCAAGTTGACCAAGCATAAAAACACCAGTGCTTCGTCATCACTCGATACAAATCTTTGGAAATTCTAAACACAGTGTGTCACATTGTTATTGCACATCAATCGAATGAAAAACAAGGACAACATCAATCACAGTTTACCAAGATGCATAGTTTCAGAATTGTTCACGCAATATATTGTTATCCATTAAACTTTCTTCCGTCAAGTGGAATGGTTTTTTTTAGTGCTTCGTGATTGATGTTAACGTCTCAAGTTTGCTTCCTATGCGCAATGGCAACAAGGTGTCTTGACTAGAAGTTGAAATTATTTTCTGATCAATTTGCACATGATATCTCTCCTTTATATTTTTACAAATAGCCTGTTTATACAGTGATTATTCACCGTAATGACATCACCGTAAAACATGGCTTTTGCACAGGGACTGATATTTTAGTCGATCTGGATAGCAAAGTAAAGTCCAGTGCCTTGCATGAAGGCAACTTTCAAGCATGTCAACTGCATAGGTTATAAATATTGAACAGTAATGCCATTCTCTTTATTAATAGTAGCCAGAGACACTTTCGTATTCAGCAAAAATCGAAGCTCATCACCTCTGAAATTGCACATTCGTGGGATATTGCCATTTTGCAATAGGCTGGTTTCGCGCAAACATTACTGTAGTGATTTTGAATTCAGGAGGCGGGATTCAGACCTATGCACATCGTGCATATAATTTGCACACTTTAGGAGGAAAGCCTCCTAATGTATTCAGGATTCACTGCTAGCTACTGGACAGTGGAGGGACAGGGAACCTGACTATTGGTCTAGGAACCAGACTAGGGGAATTGTCAGGTCAGGGAACCAAACATCAGGGCTGGGGCACGTTTTGGCACTGTGACCGTAAACATGTTTCTGGTTCGCGGCCGTTTTGGCGCTTCAGTTACACTGAAATGACGTCATTGTTTGGACCAAAGTTGAACCGAGGTTTCCGGTCGGTTCACTTATGTTTCAAGATGGCGGAAAGGTGAACAAGCTTAGCAGACGATGTTACTTTTTACCATAAATGGGGTTTAAATAGTGGGTTTTTACCTTCAATTTGTACGAAAGTTGATACAGAATATCAGGCCTCCTACTCTTTTTAGAACTTTAGGGAAATGCTATAAAAAAACTCCCACTTTTGCTTTGAATGTTGTTAATCATGTCCGGTCGCCGTGTGATTTTTTGGGGGTTGTGTGCAGTCATGTAGGCAGTAACATGACTTCATGAACAATTTTCCGGTCAGTCGTTTTCGCGGTGCACAGGAAACATGTTTCAGGTCATGGCTGTGACGTCAGAAACATGTTCCAGTTCAAGGGCCGCCAAAACGTGCTCCAGAATTGTCAGGTCAGGGAACCAGAGTAGAGAATAACAACAGAGGGCGCTAGCTGATGACGTCTAACGCTGTGAAAACCAATACAGGCCAAGCAGCACTGATTTTTTTGGGGAGACCAAGAGGCACACCATGACATAAGAAAACAGGCGTTTCTGTTTTCTACCCTCAATGAAGCAATTTTCCATTCTGAGCACTCTGGCTTTGAGTAGAGGGGGCGGAGCAGCATTTTAAATTTCATTTTTGAACAGCTGAAACACCCCTTATAAAATTTTCTATATTGAGATTGTTTCAAATAAATTATACAATTTTCAAAATTAGTAAAGGTTTGCCATATTAACGTGACTGATCTATACGATTTACCCAAACTCCCTACAGTATATTAAAAAATCATATAAAAATTTGAGGATTCAGGACTGTTAGGGTATAAAAAATCACATGATGACATCATCATTATGTCACCTCCATTTTCACGCAAAACATTGTTATGGTTTGATACACGATAACCCGCCGCAGCAATAACCTGCCGCTGCGAGAGGGCGCTATCACGACCAACCAATATCACCCACGAACCCATCGGAACAACGTCTAGGCCAATTCGTACTGGTTGTGTAATGCGCGCTCAACTGTTTGGCCTATTAAAATGCAGTGCACATTCAAAAAAATTCATAGTAGTTCCGAAGCTAACTCTCAAATTTCTTCCAGTAATGTGAAAGATGCAGCAAGCTGGACGAATGTGCAACTTCACTGGTCTGCTCTTTTGTTGTGTGTAATAATAATAATAATAATGCATTCTTATATAGCGCATTACATCAAAAGAAAAATCTCAATGCGCTTTACAAAATTAATCGCATAAAAAAGTCATAATAAATAGTCACTAAATAGGAAGTGAACCACTGAAACGCAAAACCTTTCCAATCTATGAAGTAAAATGGAGTAATCAATGGTATCGAAAGCAGCGGTCAGGTCAAGCATAACTAAACCTCTTTCTGATTGTCAAGTGAAATCAAAATATCGTTTTGGACTTTCAACAGTGCCGACTCAGTGCAGTGATACTGGCGATAAGCAGACTGAAATTTGGATAACAATGAGAATCGTACCAAATATGCATAAAGCTGGTCGGCAGCTAATTTCTCTACTAATTTGCCAACAAAAGGAACATTTGACACAGGTCTGTAATTACACAACCCATTTGGATCCAACCCAGACTTTTTCAACAGCGGTCTTATTATAGCCATTTTCAGTTCTGATGGAAACACACCTGACAGAAGGGATTTATTCAGAATCGATGACAAATACTTTAAAACATAAGGAAGACCAGATTTCAGAAAATGAGTCGGGATTGGATCCAAAACACATGATTTGGAATTCATTGATTTCATGAATCTGGTTAGAACACATTCGTTAATTGTACTGAAATTCGTGAATGATGAATGACCAGGTTCAGTGGATACGCATGAAATATCACCCGAAACATGCAGTTGCTTTTAAAGACGCAATATTTTGCTATTAAAAATGTCAAGGAACTGTTCGGCTAATTTCTGATCACCATCGTGCTGTGGCAAATTCTTTGCTGCAGCTGCCTTCTTGCCGATTATGTCATCTATTATAGAGAATATTTTTCTCTGGTTGCAATCCTGGATTTTATGTCGGTAGTACGACTCCTTGATCCGATTCACAGTTCGATTGTGTGCTGACTGCTTGGCTTTAAAAATCTGTTTGTTTACCTGCAGAGGATTAGTTACCCAGTACCATTCCAATCGACAAGTTTCTTGTCTGCTCTGACGGATCGCATCACAGAACCACGGCACTCTGGGTTTCAGGAGCAAAACGATCCATATCACATCCGTCCTTGTTAAATCCTCCATGTGGAAGTTAAAATCGCCCAAGATCATCAGGCGACCCGGTCTAATGACAGCTATTTCTACCAGAGATCCAAACTCTCGCAGCAATTTGTTAACGGTGGTTCTGTTCTTAACAGATGGGGGAGAACGATATACTGCAATAACATGAATGAGGTCTGACGAATTCCTTATACTTAAGTCCATCAACTCAAAAGAATTATATGACGGAGTGTGATGTCTGTTCACAGCTAAATTCTGACGCACAATTGCAGCTACACCTCCGCCTCTGGAACAACTCCGCGGACAACTATGAAAATCATATCCAGTGAGCATTGAACGAAACTGATTCACAGTAAGCTGTTCGTGTGTAGTATGTGTGGGACTGAAAATGAACTGGAATTGACTGCAGAAGTCGTGCATGCGCACTAGTTTCCCCCATTTTTAGGGGGGAGATTTTAGGAACTGGCCTAGACGTTGTTCCTACGGGTTCGTGAGTTATATTGTTGGTCGTGATAGCGCCCTCTCGCAGAGGCGGGTTATCGCGTATCAAACCGTAACAACGTCTAGCCCCTAGACTCAGTTTCATTAAGATACAAGTCTGTTAAATGTCAAAAGCGGCACCAAGAATGAAACATGTACAACATCTATGGGATTTTGGATAGAAGCACAAGAAGTGAAAAAGAAAATCAAAACAAAAACAAAGGGTTTTCTTCAACCATGCGGAAAATCCAATGCTTTGAAATTGAATTAAACTCATTTTTGTACACAAATTATACATTATGAGAAAGGCAGATATAGTTAGCATAGTTTGCCAAAATGAGATTTGTTTTATCAAACGCATCAAACACAAGTTTTCACTGCCAACTAATACAGGTAAATCAACATTCGTTCAGGAATAGACCCTTTCGCATAGTTTCAAGCCACAGTTTGGTTGGTTGTCTATGTTAGGTTAAGTTTAGGTAATAATTTAACAGACGAGAAGCAAATCAGGTACTTGATTGTAGTGTTAATGCTATTGAGATTATTTTGGTCCAATCTGTTTATATAAACAAAATATACATACAGGGTGTGTATGGCGGGTTGTCATAGGAACTTTTGGTGCAGCCATTTATAGAGCCATCCACAAAGTTAGAAGGTTCATTCATGTCCTGGTAATAGAAAAATAGTATTTCAAGTTATTAATTGAAGACCTTTCCACTATGAATATTCTTCAATCCACCAGACTCTAATACTATGCAGTAAAACAATTGAACTTTTGTTTGTACTTTATGACATCAATCCCCATGTAATGTAATGGTGGCTGGGTCCTTAAAAGTAAAGCAAAACAAGACATTGGAGTTTGTTTTGGGGGATGGTTGGATGATTTTGGCACAAAATCACTGTGCATACATCAGTATATTGTTGATGTACCCTAACGTGGCGCAGCCCCTAACATGGCACACTTTGATTTTTCGTCTGTAGCGCCTAGCTAGAGTAAAAGTTTTAAGTGAAATTTCATCAAGTTCTTAACACTCCCATTCATAAATTCCGAGTTTATCTACCTGTTACAAAGTTAGAAGAAAAATTCATTTTGGCGTGATTTTCCAATTTTATTTTGAAGTGCAAAGTGAACCCTTTGGAAATGCCCCGAAAAATAATTTAACAAAATTCTGACAAACTTCTGGTTGGGCATGTAAGTAGAGATAATAATGGTTTATCAGAATCTATCAACTTTACAGGAATTCTTAAATGTCAATTTGGAATTTTCCGAGATTTATTCAAGTGCGCCACGTTAGGGAACACTCTGCCAATTTGTGCCCAATTTCCGGACGCCACCGTTTTTGAATTTCGGATTAAATTTTATGAAACCAAAATTGTTCACAGAGGTTAAATAGCGAGCATTAATAAGGTAAAAGTACCAGTATTTTACTGCATGAATTTAAGGTTTGTCACCAAAGAGGTTTAGCAACACTACACGAGGAAAGTCGGGTAAACGTCGAAGTGCGCCACGTTAGGGAACACCACCATACAATTGTTGCCTGCTGTGGCAGGGTCTATGGTGTTTTGTCTTTAGTCTTTGGAATGAGAGAAACCTCTTCTTTAATTGGAGGCGAACTATTGTTATATCATTAACAAATGTAATACTATGCAATTTTAGAATTTATTGTAGCAAAAACGATACTAAAAAGACCAACTTGACTACTTACAATCCATAGTCCATCAAAGGGAACTTTGCCATGGAAACTTTTGATTTGATCCAGCCACCAGCTCTTTGTCTTGTTGTTGAAAAAGTCTGGAAATACAGTGGGTCCTGGCCACACCTTCAATACCAACATGACAACAATAATGCATTAATTACTTAATCTCAGATCTATCGCATGAATAATCCTGCTTTTTCAGTAGATTCCCGTTATAGCACTCCTTAGGGGACTGAGTTTCACTAAGGGAATAAATGTGTGTTCAGGAGGTATTATAACACTCTGTTTAAGACCGGTGGGAGTCTGGATGGGTGATAATTACCTGAGGCGAAGCCGAGGGTAATTATCACCGATCCATACTTATCACCCATCCAGATTATAATTAAAAGAAATTCCCTTAATATAATTTGAAATCCCTTCCTCTATCTACGACAATTTGTCGGGAGATTTCCCTAAATGTACTACGGAAAAGTATTACTTTTAAAGACAAGTATTGTTCTTGCACCAGCATACTTTAACGTGAATACTCAATCACCATAGTGATTGCATGAGATGCGAGGTTCGGGGCCACTGAAGTGTCACCACAGAAATGATATTTACATCTTTAGATTTACCAAAATTCCATCCGCATCAACGTTCACTCGTAACTTGTGTTGAACTTTTTACCCAAACCTTCACAGGAATTTTACAATCACATCCTAATATTATCTACAATCGTAAAAAAACCAAGAAAAACCTACCGTTCAGTGATGCACTGAACGGTAGGTTTCAGGACGCCATTTTTCCTGACGCAATACGGACAAATATTAAAAACTGGTCCATCATAAACGAGATATGCTGGGAATGTTCCACTGGAACGTGCAATTGAACACGTATTCCCAACCGTTCCGCTGGACCATTCTCGCAAAGGGATTGTGCTGTTCCAATGGAACGGTCCTCTGTTCCCAATGGAATACCGGAGCGTTCCAGTCCGGAAACATGCCGTTCCAATGAGAACGTTCCGAGCGTTCCGTCTTATGAGACGCTCCCTAATTTGAGAGCGCAATAACAGGAACCATTTTACATGTTTCATATTGTTTGTCGGCCAAAAATTAGTGAGTGTTATATCCGGAAAAGCGCTGTAACTGGGAGCGCTATAACCGCAGAAAAATGTACGCAATCAAATGGGGAACAGCTGGGGAAATGAAAAAAGAGCTTAATATACGGAACAGCGTTATATCAGGGAGCGTTGTAATGGAAATCTACTAGCACTTGTTATATATACACTTCGTTTTGTTACATTATGCCTTGGATACTGTAACTTCAGTGGTCTAGAACGGCAATGTGTGCAGTCTATAACAAAGACTGTTTACTCCATACACACTGCATTGCATATTACCTCATACACACTGTGTTACCCATACATGTAAAAATCATCGGGTACACCACGAGGTGATGGATCGTCTATGGATTTGGGCACACAATACCTCATTTCATGGTGCGAACAACAAAAATATCTCTTTAAAATGCATTGCATATATTGTGCATGTGCAAAGGATGCATGTGTAGGGCCCATGGGCGTCGCCAGGATTTTTTCTAGAGGGGGGCAAAGCACATTTTCCCCCCGAAATCCCCGTACTTTTCCAGCATATTCTCAATTTATCATTTTTCGAGGGTGGGCAGGGACATTTTGGGCACCCCCCCCCCCACCCCATTAAATTAACAGCAACATGATTTCGCGCCTCTTTTTTCTTTCTTTTTTCCTTTTTTTTTTTGGGGGGGGGGCTTTTTTTAGGGGGGGGGGGAGACAAGCGCCCCCTTGCCCCCCCCCCCCCCTCCCGACGCCCATGGCAGGGCCTGCACGTCCAGCAACAAAGACATTCTCCTTTTGGGGGGGGGGGAGAGGGTGGGATGCACTGTCACATTGTACTCACCTACCCCCATAGGCTCAGATGGTACAAGGCAGCATCTGCAACTGTAACTTCTGGAGCCCTCACTGGGTCCTGGATCTCCCATACCATTAAATCCAGGAACCAATGTTGCCTACATTAAGTTTATTTCTTGCTACTTTTTTAAAACTGAAACTTTGTCGTTGTTGGTTCTTTACTCATGGGTTTGGGCATAAAGAATGGTTACTTTATTTGGAACCAATTCTTTTGGAGCCAGAACCAAGTGCAGTCATTAACCCAATCATATTGAAACCAGCTAAAGCCAGAGACCTGCCAAAACACATAATAGTGAGATATTGCTATACAAGGAGAGCATAACACATGCACGTTGACTCGGTTCTTTACCTCTCCTACTAGTGGTTTTCCAGTGCTGTCTTTCACAAATACGTCCTGTGCTATACCGGTATCATATGGTGGATAAGTACCAGGAGGTTGGGTGCTACTTATTCCTGGATCCTGGCAAAAGATTTAAGAAAAGAGTGTATTAAATACACATACCGCCCCATGAAAAAAATTGTGTACTCCTATAAGTGACCATGGTTAACGAGTTTAACAGAAATTTGGGTGCCCCCCTCTGTAACATCCAGCCCCCACCCGCCCCCTATGGAGAGAACCCTGGCTATGCCACTGACAGTACTGACTGAAAATGAAAGGAAATGTATGTGCAGTCTTTAAGTGCCAGTAAATGTAACGTGAAGTACATGTAAAGCAGGGATACTGTGGCATGGCCAGGTTTGTCCAGCACGACTGCCTGCAAAGAGCTATGAGAGGAGGTTTATTGTGCATGCAGACTCTTAAACAGGGGTATGTACGCAGAACTTGTTTTGACATTCCAATTTGCTGCCCAACCAGAGTCAAATCAAGTTCTGATAAAAATGTCCAAACCGAACCCGAACCGAACCCGAAACCTAAGGGCTCACTTGCAGGACTTTGAATATAATATAACGTACCAGAATTGGAATGAAGTGCATTCCAGATGCATGAAGATACTTGATCATGTCAGGTAATCCAGCAAACGTTGAATTGTTGACAGTAAAGTCTTTCCGTCCATCTGCATATTCGATGTCATTCCACTGAGTGTCCTTTCCAGTAAATAAGTATAGATAATGAAAAGACCAAGTGAGGTGCATACAAATAAAAACAGTTAGAATTAAGGGATACTTAAAAGATTGAAAGCTAACCTTTCCGTGTCAAATCAACCTTGACTTCTCTGTCAAAACTAATCGGCAAAGCTGTTTACAGGACATTTGCTACAAAACACTTGCCAACGAATACTTGAGTATCATTTTGAATGTCAGGAATTATCTGTAAGTGAACTCAAGGACGAGGCTCCAACTACCTCTCTCCTCAACAAAAGAAATAATAAAGGAAATAATACCACCAACGACAATCTGATCATTGGAAATGGTTGGCAAAGACATTTTAAAAATGTCATCACAACTATAAAGTGGAAACTTTGTTGAATGGGAGCACAAAGAATTATCAGTTTTCTGTTGGAAGTTTTAATAGCCAACTACAAAACCCAAATAGATAAAAAAATCTTTACAATTTAGTGCATTTCTGATTGTTTTAATCATTATACATATCCGATCGGTATTTCTGTTTACCTTTAGCAAGCAAATACGAAATCCCTCATACAAAGATATAAAGATAATCAATGATTATGTATGGCATCTAGATTACGTACATCTATACCTATAAGCTAAGGATGTGACATTTACACGTTTTAAACGTTTAAACGAAAACAATTCCAATCCATTAACAAATTCCCAACAAACGTTGAAACAAAACTCGAATTTTAGGAAAGGGGCCTACGTTCACTGTTCACGCAGTCTTCCTTTGAATTAAACCTACATACAGTAGATGTAGCACAAATAATTAACAATGTTTTATTTACAAAACCTTTGAAATACTTCAACACTTGATTTCATTCGGGGCACACGTAAATGTAGTTAAGTTTTTACGTCTTCAGTGACTGCCATAGTTGATTTACATGTATGTCAATCACACCGGTCTGCAGGCATCATGCGTCAGCCTTTGTGAATAGCTAAACGATTCTGAAAATATTTGCTAAACATTTACAAACTAAACGCAAAATCACATCCTTGTTATAAGCAAGCACGTCTCTCTGTCTCTGTCTGTCTGTCTGTCTGTCAGTGCCGTGTGATCACCTAGAGAGTTGAAACTGATAGTTAATGTACATGAGGGGGATAGACAACATTTTTATCCCTAATTAACTGTCACTAATTAAGTAATTGGATACTTTCCCTTTACATCTTACAGCACATAGAGATAAGCAGCAACATGGCAAAGCAGCCATGCCTCTGGTAGGCACATTGCATATAAGCATCCTCACATGGTAGCTCCTATCATAACACCAGTTGGTGACACTGATGCATGCTGACTGACACTGATTTAGGTAATATGTTCTGACTGTGCAATGAAATGCAGACTTAGGTGGGGAAAATGTATTCAGTATAGACGTTTTCAGCAGCCACAACATACTAAGACAATGTAGACTGGGGGGGGCCATAAATAGGCTTGGTTGGAAATGAAAACTATTTGAAGAATAAAAAAGGGATGCCCTTAGAATGTAACATTCGTAACAACAAAAACATAATGTTTCCATAACATCAAAAGAGTTTTTGGAAAATGTCATTTGTATGTTTGTTAACCCTTTCATGCCCACATTGTTTATTGACTTGGCTCTCCCCAGGACCAAATTGTTTGCTCAGTCATGCGGAAATCACAAGAGCGTGAACAAAATGAGCACGAGTCAAAAACTCACTTTTTTCAACCCAGATTTTCACTGCCAAGGAGTGATTAAAATCATAGGTGTTGTGTGTTAAGTTTGTTCCTTGAACCTTACTCTTTTATGTGATGTAAAAATGAAGTCCATGCGTGCAAATATAAGAAAGTTATGCCTTTTTATTCATCTGGTCCCAATTATCAAACTGCAAGCCATTTCACCACATGACCAAAGGGCACTCCATACCTCACATTGTGCGTGGATACTTCTGACATGTCTGAAGCACTTCTCTCATTTTTTTGTAATGGTAACACTATGAATAAACTACACCATTAGAACGATCCGAAAACACTCTTTCAGCTGGTATATAGTTGATGTATGGGCGGCCAAACACATCAACATGCCGCCTTTCTGAAAAGCAGTGAATATATCTGTGCTGAGGGTGTTTTGTGTGTGGTTTCCTGGTCGACTAAAGTCGCCCATGGGAACCAGCAGGGGGGTACTTCTTGACAAAAGTCGCCCATGGTAAGGAAAGGGTTAACAGTGAAGCTATCTATTACAACATAGTTATTCCATTAAATTCTTGTAAGAAACTCTGTAGACTTTCTTCAATGAGCACAGAAAGTCAAAACCTGTCAGAATGTGTAATGTCCATAACGCTATATCTCATTAATAAATTCAGCTTACACTAAGTGAACCACGTCATGTTATACATTGATGCCCAAGCTATAGCTCTACCAAATATACATAAAACTACCCCCCAAAAATTAATTGGTCAGTAGCCTCTAAATGCAACGGGCATACATTGGAATTTCCCTTATATCTCAATTCAAATACCTGTGGAATTAAAGCAGCTTTCATCCGCTTCACAATCTCCAGGGTTCTATTTGATGATCCATAGCCCCAGCGACAGAGATGAAAACCAAGACCCCAATAGGGTGGCATTAAGGGTCGACCTATGACCTCTGTGTATTGTTGAACCACTTCATCAGATCCAGGACCCATGAAGATGTAGAAGTCAAGAATACCACCAATAGTTCGGTAAGTCAGAGCAGGGGCTGGCTGCAGTACTACCTCTGGTTGGATAAGAAAATGTGATTCCCGTCAGTATACAATTTATAACAGATTTAATGATCTATTCTTTAAGATGTGCATGACAAAAAAATGTAAGTAACGGTGCATCTTGATGCCAGATCACACATGTACAAACACTAGCAATTAGGCTCCCTCCTCCATCTTTAGGCCCCTCGCTTTAAACAAGTTTTGCAAAACTTCCACAAAACATGCATTGTGAGCACGATGTTCACTTAATTTGGAAGTATTTCAAAAACTGTTACAAATTGACCTAGCACCTTTTTGAAAATAACTAGTCACAGACTTGTGTTGTAATGACTCACTTGTAAAGACTTGACCATTTCCTTTTTCAAAGACTGTTTGATTTAACTCACTGGATTTATTATACAGGGTGTCCCAAAATATGTCCCAAATATGTATCGATTATTAGTGATTTTTTTTGTTTAAAGCTGTGAAAAAGAGGGCACTTTGAGGGTTCAGGTTTTTTTGGGGAACACATTGTATCCAATAATAGTAGAATAAATGTTTCTTACCCATGGCGTTACTGTTTAGGAGTAACACACCGTGGGCTTTGCTTGAGGCACCCTCAAGGTTCAGGTAGAATGGATGTACTCCGTACAAATTATCTCCAACCTGCATGGAGGTACAATGTTATTGTTAAGTGTATTTTGCTTGGGTCATTGATAAAAAAACAAACATACAAACACATTGTTTGAGGGTGAATAGTCAATATTAGCTCCCTGAGGTACAGGTTTTCCTAGTTACTTTAACACTTGTATCATTCAAATTCCAAGGAAAGATACTTGAATTTCATTCTAGACCATCATTGAGCTCCATTGTTAATTCTGATTGCGAATTTACACCATAGATTTCATATATGGTGCAATGTACATGTAATTCGCAAATGTAGCATTCTGATTCGTCTAAGATTCGCAAAATTCGTCTCTTGTGGAGTTTGACATAGAATTGGAAAAGCTGAATAAAACAACATCATTTATCAATTTTAAGAATCAAAACAACGCATTCCCTTATGTATTAAACAAACACCATTTTGTGGTCCTATGTAACTTACCTGTGGGGGATGATCTCTTGACCACATTGGATATGTCTTCCAATCTGAAGCAACTTTGAAACGACCTCTGTGTTCTCCAAGACCATAAATGTACGGTGTGACAAGGCTGGTTGACATTTGAAGGAACTGATCAGCAAATATTAAGGGACTGAGGGTACTGTTGAATCTGTAAAATTATCATTGAAAAGACAATTCTCATTCAAACACCTCCATGACCTCATGACACTGACAGCCTTTCAAAAACACATGACACAACATGCAATTAGATTACATGTATGTCTAGGCGATTTTGCATGATGATGGAGCTATATTAAATTACTACAGCCAGTTAAGGCAGCTAACTTGCCATACACAATGAAGCCTGCTGGGACTGGGTGCATAAAAGTTTGTGCACAAACCTATGGAAAACTTTACATTGTTTTAACAGTTTTTCTACAGCTATTTGAATAAATGGGGTTGCATTCGAAGTTGATATGCTCAAAACCGAAACACACAATCACTAAATGAGATTTTCATTTTGCTCTATACGCATGGGCCTGTCAGTCGTCACTTCTTTTTTCCTGCTTTTTTCTTGTGTAAATAGACCTGAACTTGTCCACTGTTTGTTGTAATTATTTGGTTGTTTGCAACTGTCGCAGTGCCAAATTAACAGGGTTCACTGTGACACACTGCATCATGTTGATCCACTTTATTGACAGCATTGTCAGCATGTACAAGTATAGTAATGAGGCCCATGATTGTACATGTCTGTCTTGACAGTTGAAATTCTGCTTCACTCCTTTGGATCTGGAGTGACATCTCAAGTCACACACCCCCAACACATGGAATATACTGTTGTCATACAGCTTCAGCTTGGCTGTTTATTTTCTCAAATGAGGGTCACCAGTCTGCTTGGTCTCACACGGGCTGTAGAGAGACATCAGGTTGGATTTTAATTACTCCTGTGTCAATCTGACACAGGACCTTGATCTGGATCTGCTTCAAATGTACACGTATGTAAGTGGAACAGTGTGTGCTTTGCTACCCTTGTTGACAGCTCCAGTCACTAGACGGATTCGTCCATATCACGGTCAGATGAAACCGCTTGAATCTGATGTAGACTCTTTTACACTTATTGAAGTGGGTCAAGCTTCCCTCACCAAGCAGTTTTCTTCCAATTATGCACAGCATTTCTTTTTGTCCCAATCATGTGAAGATCCACAGTATTTGCAGGATTTCAGTTTCTATCCCTTTGGGGTCTCTGAGAATTGTTTTGGTGTTGCAGGAATATTTGTTTCTCAGTACATGGTTGTCATTTCTTCACATACATGTAGTGTACTGCTTCTGTCCGGTGTACGTCTATCAATCCTCCTGAGCTGTTCCCGTGTCAGTTCACTGATTCTGAGGGTCTTAAAAGCTGGCTTCATATCACATTCTCTCTCTCATTCTCCCTCTCCCCTCTCTCTCTCTCTCTGAAGAGACGTGCTTGTGCTGCTTTGGTTCCAACATGTCCAAGGACTAATCTGTTGATCTGTTTTTAGCTGAGTGAACTTGTGCAAACTGTTGTAGGTGAATCACATACTAGTCTACAGTCTCATTGGGCTGCTGAAACTAAAACTGACCTCTCTCAAGTTCAGTACAGATTTAGCTTTTGTGACTTTTCGGTGCATCATCGAAGAGCTGAAGCTGCCTCAAAATGTTCTTGCATTCTTTGCTAATCCCACTTTTCAAAGTTGCCACTTGGATTGACTCATCTTTATCAAGTTTTACTGTTTTAAGATAGACATCTTTCTCTAAAGAAGCTCCAATATAGTGCTCCAGTTTTGGCAAGAACTCCAACTTTACAGTTCATTACCCCCTGGTGGCAGAATTTGACAGATGCCATATTGAATGCAATCAGACTCGCAATCAGACTCAGACTCAGATGGGGACGACACATAACACAGATCCCCTTTCTTAGCTTTGCCAGTTTGCAATCTTGTTATAAAATTTGCTTTAAAAAAGATCTAACACCTATGATAAACATCCAAGCATCTACTAAAAATCTGTATATAATGTACCCTGCAAACAGCAAAAATGGGTACCTATAATCACATCCAAATGATTTCAGTATTTCAAAATAGTGAGAGAACAAATTCATCAATCACAACTTACATTACAGTATTGTCAACAGCACGGGTGATGACTAAACCCATTGGGGACTTGGAGAACTGCACTTTGTAGTCAGTTGATGGTGCTCGCTTGCTGACTTTAGGTGTAGGGATGGGAACCTCATAACGTTCAGATCTGGGATCATATATCTAAATGAAAGGGAATTTCCACAGAAAAAAAATGGATTCCACTGGGCTGAAATTACATGCATGCTTGGCCAGTTGAAAAGCATGCCATGCGATGCCCAATTTAAAATGACATTAGCCATCCATAAGAGTTGATATAAGAGTCATTCTATAAATTCAGGGGCAAAAGTGTGCCATTTTCCTGTCCTTGTTACCTCTGAACAATGCTTTCCCATTCAAGTGTCACTAAAAATGCCTTCCAACTAATTATTATTTGTTGGGTAGGTACATTGTACAAGTAGTTTGCTTCACATAATCACTCTTGGAGGAAGAATAAATGAAGGAATGCATCAAGAAGTAAAAAAATCATACATGTACAAATGTATGTCAGATGTAACCAGGACAGGATAAAGTGAACCTCAAATTTACAGAAAATTCCAAAAGCAAAAAGAAATAAAGAATGAAAATGAAATTTGTACTAAATATGTCATGATTGTCGAGGGTGCTTCACTGTAGAGACCAACTGGTGTTTTTAACTCTCTGTTTTAAGCTTGTTCTTTTTTTTCCTCTGTATTTACCACTTTCTGATGTTTTTCTTCATCGTCATGTTTTTTGCAATCGGTGAACTTGTTCATGTACATTTGTAAGTGCCGGCTTTTTTGTGCGTTTTGCTGATTTTTACGCATGACGTTTCTGCAGGAACTTCTGTACATTTGAGGAAAAGTCACTGAGACAGTTGGGTTTGGTCCGTCGGTGCCCCCCAATGATTTACTTGCATGGCGCTGTGTAGCATATTTATTATCATATGCTGGGTTCAACACATCTAGCGACTTGACTAATATGATTTCAGACAGATGTACATGTATTTGCCCAGCGAAATGTTGTGCATAGAGAGGGCCAATAATAGCTCACCTGTACCACTGAGAAAGCATCCATGACAAGAGTGGAGGTATTTTTCTCTAGATCAGTGTACGTTTCTCTCTGCCCCTAAAACGACACATCGCCCTACAAATCAAAATGTCTCCTCTCTTGTAATGGCAAACTGCCCCTCAAAAACACAAGTGCCCCTCTCACATTAACAAGATTGTGCCCCTCTCGAGATGGAAAACTGGCCATCAAAAGCAACAGTGCCCCTCTCGCGATAAAGAAAATGGTTTCTTTACATAATTAGTCAAATTCATGGGCGGACCCAGAGAGTTTACTGCCAGGGGCAGAGGGTGTGCAGTGTGCTGAAGGCTCAAGGGTGGATCCAAGGGGGGGGGGCAACAGGGCCATGCCTCCCCCCCAAAAAAAATAATAAACCCAAATTGTTTTAAAAAATTAGGGACATCACAAAAAAGGGAAGCCACTACGTTCACCAACATTTTTTCCTTAAAACAATTGGTCAGAAATTGCCTCAGATTGCACCAATTAATTTCATTTATTTCATTTTTTTTTTATTTATAGATTTTTAAATGTTACATGTTGAACTTAAAACTGTTTTTATTATGATTGCTTGTACTTTATTATTATGATTGCTTTTATTACCAGTGCTGGGCGATACGATGATAATATCGCCGCGATACGATTTTCGTAAAAATGATCGGAATCGCATACGTTATGATAAAAATCGCAATATCGCGATATCAGCAGCTTTAAATTGCCGATTTTTTTCTCAACCCGCATTTTCGAAAAAATATCGGCAATACTTTCGTTTTTTTCCACCACAACTTTACTGAGTACTGTCAAAAGTTCCAAACCTTTACTTCATGTTGCTGCAATATGTATGTAAATCAAAACCAAATCAAGTCCAAATCTCAGATGGCTCGTGGCGATTTTAGAAATGTAAAACGCCAAAATAGCTCTATGCTGACCAAAGCTACTTGAGTTAATTTTAAGACAAAAGGATAGACTTCACATTACAAAATCTAATAGCAACATTACGCCAAACAAAAAAGTACCTTTGGTTCGGGTCACATGGTTAGAAAAAAATTGGGTCGGTTGTTCAGCATGACATTATATATATTTTTTTTTCTGGAGCCAATACACGTGAAGAAAGATAGCCAGCGGTAAATTTCATTTTTTAATGAAATCTTATACAATTAATGTGTCACTGAATAGAGGATTACACAACAAAACCAATGGCGTTCAAGTCGGCTTCATAGGTGTTTGCATTTCAAGTTTGGAGATACAACCATTGAAATGGCCAACTTTGGAGTTTCAGCCGTAAGACTGACATTATTAATTGTAACATGTTTTATAAATCTAAATTTTCCAAACCTACATGTAACAGAATGTTTGATATCAAAGGAATCCCCATAAACAATACGTTGATTTCTGAATCAGGTTTTTACCTCTCATAACAAAAACATTACAATTTTTTTCCTCGGACCTTCACACTGTCCAGGTGCGCGCAAAAAAAACACCGCGATGGGGCCAGACAATACCACACGGCCCGCCGTTGGGCATGGGCAAAGTATAGTTCCACTCCACACAACGCAGCAGTCTGGTTGCAACTCTCGCGACCGTGTACAAAATATGCTCGTTTCACCTCTTTACTTGTGCCTCAATCGAAAGAGTCAGATTGAACATTTGGATAAAACTCACAACTATGTCAGAACTTTGTTTGTAGACTTCTCATCGGCTTTTAATACAATTCAGCCTCATTTATTGACTGGAAAAATGAATAGAATGTGGGTCAATCCTCATATCTGTTTATGGATTAACAGTTTCTTAACTGATCAAATTCAAAGGGTTTTATTTATGAACTCAGTTTCTAATAACATGGTATGCTGAATTGCGAAGGACGCGGCTACAACGTGGTCGGGCCGCTGGCACGTAAAGGCGCCTATGGCTGCCGGCCACATGGACCCATATATATATGACCACGGAGCACAGCCTGAGATCGAAAGTGTTTGATTTTTCCAGAGGGAGGAAAACCGGAGGGCCCGGAGAAAAACCCTCGTGGCACAGGAGAGAACCAACGCACAACTCTACTCACATGCGATCTGCGGCCAGGATTCGAACCGTGGTCACCTTGGTGAGAGGCGAGCGCTTTACGCACAAGCCACCCATACCACTCAAATGAAAGATCTTGTTGTCCCCTTGAATTTGATACCACATTTGTTGTTGTGATGCTTGTAGTTCTGAAGATTATTATCAAGTTATATTTTTTCATGTACATGTAATAATTAGCTGATGACGTCATAATGACGTCATACATGCCCTTCCCATCATCCAATTTTTTGCGTCCGTCTTTTTTTCGAAAAGGTATACCATGGAGATGCTTTGGTGAAAAAATGGTGCTTTTGTCCACTGTGTCACGATTTTTTCACTAAGGTACCTCACTAAATAGGGTCTGTCGGATGTCCTGAACCAAAGGTTGGTTTTTTATTTGGCCTTATAGAATTGGCTGAATTAAGGCTGTGATTGAAAAAGCAGATTATGTGTTTAGTAAATTAACACCAAGGTTTAACTAGGGCAGAATATCTAAGGCACTATGATCTGGTTAAAAATACAAAAACACCTTGAATGAAAATAGGACTGTGGCATGTAGCCTGCAAGCATGCTGTGATGCTTACCTTGAAGTGTAGTCTGTAGCTGGTTTCAAAGTAGATATCCATTTGAAGCTGCATCACATCATTTGGATAGTAACTTTTAGTTGTACGTTTCAACACCACGCTGTAACCGAATGCTGTCTGTTCTGGTGAACCCATTTCATATGTTGGGAAATCATGAGGATAGAAACAGTAGGGTACACCTTCATCCAGGTTTTTGGATGATAGCCAGCAACAGCCCCGTTGTTGACATTTCAGTTGAGTCACGTCTGCTTCAGGATGGCAATCAAAGCGATAAGATGGTGCAATACCAGAACACTGCATGCCAGCTGTCAGTGCTATACATGACAGCAAGTAAATGAGAAAGATAACAGCAACAGATGTATCCTGCTTTATTTTCTGCTTCATCTGCAAAATATAAAAGACAAATACATGTACATGAATGAACACGGAAAGCAAGGGTGATTTTGAACAATAACTTTTGAGTATTTTTATGTCAGAACAAAGGATCACGAAATTTAACCTTTCAAGTACAACCAATTATTTTGTTTTAAAAAAAATGCATCTTTTTGGGTATGATAAATTTCAGTATACATTTTAAGTACACACGTACGAGTTATTTCTGGTTTGATGACGTCATCAATCAAAAAAGGGGAAGTGAATACTGACTTAGTTTGGCGAGGATACATGTTCATTATGAAGTTAAACTAACTTACTAAAATATGAAGGAAAAAAACATATCGGTAAGTGCATGTATTACATGTAATAAAAACACCTAATTTTGATGACGTCACAGCATTAGGATCTTTCGATCAACATTGTAACGGATAACATTACATACAAATGTAGTCATAAGACAGGGATTGATCGAATCATAGAATTAAATTAAAAATGATCTTCTTCAAATTCTCCCTAAAGTAACTTCCGGTCTGATGACGTCAATGAAACCTTGCAAAGTTATCTGTGCTTAATCAAAGAATATCATTTTTGTATTTAGTTTGTTAGGTAATAGGTATTTGCATAAAACTTTGAAAAATGTGTGACGTCATCATGACGTCATCAAAAATGCCATTTTTTCAAAACACAGACAAGGACAGGTCCGATCGTCATGAAACTTGGTGCGTAGGTAGATAATGGTACTAGTATGCAAAGTCCGAAGTGACGTCACGATGATGTCATCGTTTGATTTTTTATGATTTTTTTTAATATTTACAATTTTATTCTGCTTCCAAAATTGCACACTTCCTTTCATCGGATTGATTTTAAACTTGGTTCAAACCAAGACCACATTGACACAAATGTGCATTGAGAAGGGTTTTCAAAATGACGTCATCGCAGGGCATGTGACGTCATAAAGTGATAAAGCTTTATTTTTGGAATTATTCTAAGCATTGTGAACAACCTTTAACTGTATTAAACACTCTAAAAAGAGACTGCAAAGAACAAACATAGCATAAACTTTTATAAAATGCGAAAAAGCCCTGTGTTGTGTTTTCAAACAGACATATAGCTCTATTTTTTTTTCTAATTGCAACATTGTGCATGAAATGTATACATTCATGAATAAATTCATGTGTCTTCTTCAAAAATCAACTATCAATAAACAAATGCCAGTGTTGTAGGACTCAATTCCAGGACTCGGACTCGAGTCGGACTCGAGTCACATTTTTTGTGACTCGGACTCAACTCGAGTCACATTGGAAAATTACTACAACTCGGACTTGATCTCGACCATGATAACTCAGACTAGAGCTTGGTGACTCGTGACTCGAGTCACGTATTTTCATTAAAAGAAAAAACATAACGTTACGTATTTGTGCGACAAATTTAGCATTCTTTTTTACTCTATAGACAAAACACGGTGCTGCGGAAAATCGTATCCAGGGGGCAACGCGCATGCCTATCGCCTGCACGACGAGCACCAGGGCCCGGTGTCACGCCAAAAAGTGTCCGGTATCATGGAGGAGGGTTTTTTTAGGGATGGGAATTAAAAGGAAACACATTATGGGTCTAAACAACATGTACACACACAAGCCAGGTAAAGTATACACTGGGATTTACTTAAAATAAGGTAAATTTAAAGTAAGGTAAATTTAAATATAGACAGAAGTCTCAAAATCAAAACGAACCAAATTTGTTCCAAACGATTTACGAGATTATAATAAAACCTGGTATTAATTTGAACTCAAGGCCGAAGATGTTACAAAATTTCTGATGATTTCTGAAAATTTTTAAAGAATGTTTTGTGTGAAATTCAAAATATAAGCTGTCCAATAATTAAAAATTATCACAGCTAAAATGATTTTTGCGTTCAGCAGTGGCGATGCGTTATCATCACATTTCGCATTCGAATTCCACACGCACTGCGCATGTGTTTACAAATGACATGTGACAACTATAAACTGCACAAAATAGGCCTAGCATCCAGCAACCGTCAGCATCAATCAATTTTCATCGCACGACCATAACTATAAACCGGCCTTAAAAAAAAAAATTTAAATTTAAATTGATGATTTCGGTGGCTTTTAAGATAGAATCGTCGCAGCTTACTGTGTTTTGGCTAAATTTGAAATCGCACATGCACCTGAAACTAGTATGGTAACCACATCGTGTACATGTCTCCATGCAGTGCGGTGTATGTTGTTACCATACCCGTTGAGACGTGCGCTGTAAATTTCACCACAACATGACTACGACATGATGGTTCTATCTGAAGAGCCACCAAAATAATTTTTTTGGTCATATTTGAATCAGTATTGTTCTGAGCACTTCAAGTCGATCTTTTGTTTCGTTAATGACTGCTGCATGGTATTAGGTGAGTTTAAAGGGACGTTACGGCCTGGAATGTGCCAAATTGGGCTGTACAACGCATGCTTTTAAACAAAATGATAATAAAAAGAAAGAGCATTCAAAAGTAGAATATAATCGTCAACACAACCATCCTTTAAAAACTCAGCGTTTTTGTGTTATTCTTGCGAGAACCATGCAAAAACATGGATCCAGCCATACAGTGGCCAAATTTCATGGCCCCACTATTTTCCGACCACTGGACAAAAATGTGCCTACTCGCAATGAGCATTGGAGCTGGAGTGTCTCAAACTAGTTTGACATGTCATGTGGTTTAAATCAAAGTGGTGACACCCATGGTTTCTTTGGAAAGTGTGAGTTGAGACTTCGGATTTTTTTTCTTCATCCAAATGAATACAAAGTTCAAGCTACCAGTAGCTTGAAATTTCCAGCTTAGGCTCATGACATGGGGAGATTTGCCATATCATGAGCCTAAGTTGGACATTTCAAGCTAGAGCCCCTTTAATCTCAATAAATATCTGTGGATATTTATTAGCACTTTTTGAAATTGACCACTTTTGCGTGGTACACTGATAAACGGCCCAAAACCACGGCATTGGACTACTACTTGTTGTGATATTTACCAGCCACGTTACCACCAGCCACGGGACACCTCAAGAGCCAAGCCTCAGCATCAACAAGGTGCAAAACGACCTGGAGTTGCTACTCAGCCAACATAATGCTGTTTTTGACTGCTCCAAAGTTGGTAAATTGGAGGGTTACCAAGCCAAGGTGTATCCTCAGGAGGTTGTGGACGGGACATACTTTTCTACAAGGCCACCCCAGTCCCAGTATGCAATGAAAAGCAAAATTGATGGTACCTTTAGATGATCTCCTCGAGAAAGGCATGATTCAGCCCATGAAATTCGCCGATTATGCCTGCCCAGTATTTGCTGTAAACAAGCCCGACGTTGGGGTCAGAATTTGTGGCAACTACAAGCTTACTGCAAATAAAGTCTTGAAGCTAGAGCAGTACATGATACCGACCCTTGATGATCTTCTTCAAACAGTAGAAGGAGGCCAGAAATACAGCAAGCTAGACTTGTCCCATGCCTATCACCAAAAAAGAGCTCAATCCGTCAGCACGGAAATACACCACCATCAACACACATAGAGGACTATTCCAATACACAAGGTTACCGTTTGGACAAACTAGTGCTCCAGCCCTATTCCAGAGGACAATAGAATCGCTGTTGGCAAACAATCCAATGTGTAGGCCGTACTTGGATGACATCATCATTACTGGCAAGAATGATGAGGAGCACTTGGCCAATTTGAAAGATGTGTTATCCAGATTGGAAGAGAATGGACTGTGTGTAAAGCAGGAAAAATGTGCATTCCTGCAGCCCTCCATCGAGTATCTGGGACATGGCCTAAAAAAGGATGGAAAAAGTCCATTGCCAAAGAAACTGGACACCATCCAGAATGAAGAGAGGCCTACAAACCAAACACAGCTGCAAGCCTACCTAGGTCTCCTAGGTTACTACTTTAACTTAATACCCAACTTGACACAGGAGATTGCGCCACGCACACAACTGTTGGCATGGTGGCATGGGTGGCTTTTGCAAGGTGATCCTGGCCGCGGATCACATGTGAGTAGAGTTGTGCGTTGGTTCTCTCCTGTGCCACGAGGGTTTTTCTCTAGGCCCTCCGGTTTTCCTCCCTGCAGGCAATTCCACCATGACTGACATTATATTTTTTACCAAGGGAATAAATGTGTGTTTCGGAGGTATTATAACACTCTGTTTAAAACCGGTGTGAGTCTGGATGGGTAATTATCACCCATCCAGACTCACACCGGTTTTAAACAGAGTGTTTAATACCGACGGAACACATATTTATTCCCATTCATAAATACCTTTTTGGTTAAAAAAAACAAACAAATCTTTTCGGTCCAAAAATCAAAACAAGTCAAAAACTAGACGCTGCCAACAATTTTGTTCAACAATTTTACTTCATGTTTTACGAAACACCCCTCTGACTTTCAAATGGAATGCCCCTCCACAATTGCGTGCCCGTCGCGCATTCCACCTCCATGGTTGCGCGTACTGCGCGATGTCACCTTGATCTTCTATCAAGGTGACCTCACCTAGAAAGTAAAATAAAAATACCCTTTGATCCGATATTTCACCTGAAACTCTGTCCCATCTGTAACATTTTACCCATTTGTTGTATTTTTGTCCCGTCTGTCACATTTTTTCAATCACCTCTAGGTTAAAAAAAAAGTTCAACATACTTTTTTTGTAGACTCTTCTGGTTTTTAATATACTACATGTCCTTCTTAAAAATAATAAATGCTTGTGCCTACATTTATTCAGTATTTTTAAATAAATGTCCTGTCTGTCACGCCCAGTTTGTCACAACATTAACCCTCCTATGGAAACATGCATTCTGAGCCAGTGCCAGTACTTTCTCTCCCTCTTGTTCAAGCGATAGTTTTGAGTGACAACATGTTTTGCCACTTTCGGCCCTTTCTGAAAGTTATCAAAGTCTCCCTGTCAATTATTGAGTTGTAGAGTTTCCCAAGGACACAACACGGACTATCAATAATGTTACAATCCTAGCCCCACTACATGTAGTGTGGCGTCAGTATTGCTGCACTTGTACCTTTGCAGCGTGAATACCATACATAGTTACAATCCCAAAACATAAAACTTTATAAGTGAGTGTCTTTTCGTTCTCTTACAGGTACATCTACACTACATCTACACCGGTGTCACTGTCTCACTTCTTCGGCATGCTAGCTTCTCTGGGTGGATTCGGCGGATAATTGAGCACGTTACACAGTGCACGATACATGCTCATGTGTCCGCTGTGCTTACTTTTCCTTGGGCTGTGTTCTGAAGTCTACCAAGTGGACACCCAAAAATGTGTTATGTAACACTTCCTCATTGGGTCGAGTTTATTCCATGGTCTTTTAAGCATTCTGATTTGTGTTCCCAGCATCATGTGTGTGGGTGATACTTGGGAACTTCATGAACTTGGGTACAAAAGTCTTTGGTTTATAGCAGTTCTCCTCATTTCATCATTGTCACAAGGCCTAGAGGTGACCACAGGAATAAATTGAGTACTGTCCTCTCGATTTCCTGATTTATCCAGTGATCAACCTTTATGAGTTTTGTGTGTCAAACTTATCAAGCGAAAAGAGTAAGCTAGAAAAGTTTAAAACATCGCAAGATGGACACATCCAGTTGAAACTTTGAAGTGAAAGGTAATGGTTGTCACGTCTGAAATACCCCTAAAACTGTGGGGCTCTCGACTAGAGCCCCATATAGTCTATGTAGTACTATAGAATTCGCCGTGGTCTATTTCGCTTGAACAGATTTGCTGATTAATTAGGCATGTTAGGCAAGACCCCGCCTCTTGACCTCCTAGATTTTGACCAATCAGTGAGCGTTTCCGCGCCTTCTATATTGGGTCTTCGGTCATTTACCTGTTGCGCATCATAGACAATGGATAAAATTTTAAAAAGTGTCATGCACTCTGTATCATGTTACACGATATTGCGCCCGGCTGTTGTAGTTTTTTACAAAACACTGCATTCGAATTGCCCAATCAAACCATTTAGGCCAAGTCCTGATTTACAAACAATGATTTAGGAATGAAATGACATCATGATTTAGTAAAATCGACTCCAATTGGCTGGTAATACTCAGAATACCTGAACATTTGTTATATGATATGATTATGAGCTTATTATAAACACTCGAATTAGGCCTAGTGCGTGGCCATAGAATAGGGCTAGATTCCCATATCTGGCCATCACTTATTTTTCCCTTAAATGACCTATCACTATCAGTATCACTATCATCAATCATCAGTAAGTGATATTAATCGCAGTGGCTATTGTTACGGCAGCCGTAACGCATTTCCCATTTTCTATCGTTACGGTAGACTGCAACCTGGCAACTTTTATAAAAAAAACATGACAAGAAAATATAAAATTAGAAGGAAAAAAGTGAATTTGAACTTTATGAAATTCGGACTTTATTTCCCTTTAAAAAAAAATCCTCCAAAGCCTCAGGTTAGAAAAGGGAAAAAATTCGAGTGCAAAACTGAGATTCGAACCCGCAACCTCGCGGTACAAAATCCTACCCTCACTCGGCTGAGCTGGCGCACTGCTCGATAAAACGTGTGGAAACAAATAATTATATACCTGTGTGCGTATCAAAAAAATATCGTAGAGGGCGCTAAACAACGAGTGCCGTAACGATAGCCACTTCGAATATTAATACTTATAATAGTAAAAGTAAAAAGTCAAAATTAGCAGTGACAAATTTTGAATTTTTACTGAGAAAACACGTAGAAATGTTCAGACCAGTCCCATCATGCCCATACTAGCCTAGGTTTGTGCACAGGGTGAAAAGTGTTGGCCAGATATGGGAATCTTTCCTAATTAACTTGTGATGATGGAATACTTTCCTACCTCCATGGCCGGGTACGGTAACTACTTACAAACTCGTTCAAGTTGTTGTAGTTTACTTGTACACTTTAAGTACTATCACCGCTACGCGGCGCTATAGGATCTTTGAGTTTTATAGTAGTTGAAGTAGTCGTTAGATCACGTGGCTTGCGATTTCCCATCACCTGATACATGTAGGTTTATGCGTTCGTTGAGCTCACCCGGGTTGACACGGGTCAGCCCTGTGCCGTTCTATTAGCTCTGACGTCATTCTCGGGGCTCTTCGTTCGCCCCCCCCCCCCCCTCCCCCACCCCGCCCTGCAAACAGGGAAGGGCTGATGAGCTTCACAGAATCTTGTTAAGGAAGAGGGGATGGCATTTATTGATTTTATTTATTTATTTTTAATTTATTACATTTATTTAACCAGGGTACGCCCAAACAGTTTAAAACTGGTTTCCATTGGGGCCCTGCATACAATAAATAATGACTACAAACATGAAATACAATACATTACAAATACAATATAATTCAATACAATGGGATAAAATATTACTTGATTAATGCATAGGTGTTCAGCAAATATTATAACTACAATACATTTTAAAACTATTAAAACTACATGTACAGTGTGAAGGCTTTAGGTGGATTCAGTGAACACGAAGAATTTGGATCTATCTTCGGTAAAATCAAGAAAAAATATTGCTATAATTATATTCGCTGATTATGGGAGGGGCGAAAAACCCTTTTGGGAGAAAACACGGGGAAATTCCCATGCGGCTCCTTATTATTATGGCAAACAAGTTTGTTAACTCCGTAGATCAGCACATATATCTATATATAGATTACAGGGACAAATACTCCCACAATTATTTGCAGAAATATTACTGACTGAACATTTTACGTAGTTCAGATTTTAATAAGGTTGGAGAAGTCAAAGTTCTCACCTGCACATGCAAATTATTCCATATGATTGTACCAGTTATAGCAAAACTTAAGGCATAATATTTTTTGTCTTTTTTGGAAAAGGAATCCTCAGTGCCATGTCAGTGATTGTCTCGTTTCACGAATCCGAATAAGTGGTGCAAATATATTTGTCATAAACAAAGGAGTAATTTTGTTTATACATTTGTAAACAAAAATAGCCTCTTTCAGCAAATGACATCCAATTAAGACTAGCAAACATACTGAAGGAGTTAAGAATGCACACTTTAGGACCATCCGCGCGGCTCTTTTCCGACATTTATTAAAAATATTGTCGTGTGATGTGTACCTTCCTCCCCATACAGTACTGCAATAATCTAAAGATGGCATAACTAAGCTAGCAAAAAGAGAGTGCAGACTCAGTGCTTTCAATTTGGGGAACAAAGTCGCGGATTCTATTTAACATATACCTAGTTTAGAGGAAGCTGTTTTCTTCACATATATTCAACGTGTTGGCCCCAACTTAAGGTGTCACCAATAACACCTAAACCGTTACAAGAGTTCACCTTTACAACTGGACTACCGGCAATACTAACATTAAGGTCAGTACTGCGGACATTTATTTTAGTTCCAATGAGCATTTGGTTTTGCTGTCGTACTGTAAGTTTGTTTCTGATCTGACACACCAATCGTAAATTCTCGCTAGGGCT